TTGCATCCTTTTTATAATTTTACAGCCTGTTATCACTGTGTAGATCACCAACGTAGATGATCTATGTCGAGTGATCTGAAGCCTACTCGAGTTAGACGGGAATGGTGTGAGGAACCAGCGAGCGTCGAAGTCACACCTCGTGGTCAGCACCATACGTGGACTACCCCATTGACGTATCAAGGTACTATAGATGCTCTGAAGACTGTACAACATAAAGGACGTTATTACAGAAATATATTAGTTAAAGTAGATACAAGCGAAAGTAAGACCACTGCCGCATGGGCCAGTCCATGGCGTACGATTAACTGATATGTGTTGGTTGTCCTTGACCTCGACGAGGATTAATGATTTGTTCGATATTCAATGATCTAACTACCAGATGATTTGGCTAGGGCTCAGTGGAATTTCACTGGCCCTACAACTGTTTCGGTAATGAGTACAAATCTACTAAATTACACGAGCTGCTAATAATCAATTTCACAACAAGGGAATATCTACATTTGTTTGACGATCTTTTGAGTGCTAACATATAATGAATTTTTGTAAATATCAATATATCTATCGATCTTTTTTTATGTAGCTTGAAGCGTATTTGGATCCATTGTTTGACAACTTTATTATTTCAAAAGTTTACTGTTCCTAATAGACAAATATTCAATATAATATGTCATAAACAATTATATTTTAAGGAAAATAGGTGGACAATATTCACTTGTTAACTGAATTTCTTCTGTGAATTTCACAATATATAAAACTTAAATATTCAATGAACTGTGGGCATTATCACCATTTGTTGCATTTTAACATTTACTTATGAACATAGTGTCGTTATTCACTGCTGAGCTACTTCGCATAATGACAGTTCAATAATCGAATAGCTATAAACTCATAAAATATTTCCCCATATTTTGTTAAAACTCCATTTATTTCAGCCTCATATTATTTATTTAGAGTCCTATTATTTATTTACGCTAATACATTCTTGTCTGAACAAATTGAAAGCTCATGAGTTTGTTTATCAACTTTGAATGTTCACTATACGTGTCGTATTAAACAGTTTATTTAGAAGATGTGCATTAAATATAAAAGTTAATTTTCACTATAGATTTGACCTAAAGCTCCGACTGTTACTACACTTGTGTTTGGATGCCCTACTCAAATGTAGATAGATTCAGATGTTTATAACAAAATCTTTAGTAAAAATTACACTCTTATATTCCCCACTCACTGATCAAATTAACTGAAAAATAAACGATGGCTAGTAGTATAATTTAGGGCATATGTTTCGTTCTATTTGGCACCTGTCAGCTGGATGTACCTGCATGATAGAGTTGATATTCACACCAACTCGAACTCAATACCGTTCTCTTCAAACGCCATTAGCTTGTGAAATGGGGTGAAGTTTCAATTCATTTTGTATTGTTTATTTGAACCTTTTCATCGATGTTTAAGACTGCAATCGATCTTTGCTTAGAATGTTTGTGACTTAAGACAATATTGAGGAAATCCGTACAGAATGCACATATGCCAATAAGAGATTGATCATTTGCAGTCGTAAACAATAATGAGAAGATTCATGTAAACAATACAAAATGAACTTAAATGAAAACGTCGGAAAATGCCGTATACTACAAAAGTTATTAAATATTGAAGAAAAAACAGATGAATGAACTCACAGTGAAAAACTTGACAAGTAAATATGTAATTTTTAACTTTTGTTCGAATTATTTTGGTTAATTATTAACTTTTATTCATGTCAAGTTTCATATACATGTAAATGCTTATATGTCTGATTGCCTATTTCTATCTTAATGACCATAAAAATTAAAACAAAAATTTATAAACTACTTTTACAACCAAGTCATTACACATATTAATAAAAATTGATCTATAAATCAAACAGTACACGTATTTTTTTTCACCTTTTACATTTTCGTTTACTTATGAATTTTAAGTAGGATTTAATAACCACTTAGAAAAATCATAATGACCAAGAATCAGGTTAAGTGGTGAAGATAATTTGTAGATAATAACAGATCAGGTTTGGTGTTCGTTATATTCGCTACATGATTATTGCAAAATACAGTTTAAAAATACGACACTCGAACGTTGAACTTCACCGTCGCAATACAGAAGACAGAAGAGAAGCTGGAGAAGTGTTTATTTGGTAAGAATCAATGTGTACAGAAAATCACGGGTATTTATAGATGTTAGCATTTGCTAAATCAACATTATATTTTGGCCGATTCTCTAAGAGACACATTATGCTACTGACCAATAGTAGCATGCCACGTTGATATTCTAGAAAGCTTCATCATGTTCTGATTGGCTGGAACTCTTCAGCTCCTTTAGGGTCTCTGGAGGCTCCGCTGTAATTCTCGGAAGCCAACTCAACAATTTTAAAAAAGTTATTATTTATATGTGGACTTTGTATTGATGGTATTGTTTATACAAGCCTCAAGAATAAAAATACCATCAATAAGCACACGATTTCAACAAAATCATTTTGTTGAACTGCAGAACCCATCCATCAACACAGCTATAATAGTCTTCCGATCAATCAGAATCAAAATAATGTATACATCTGATCAGATAGAGTTTTAGTCGTACAGGTAATAAAAATCATTTTTAAATTGATTATCTGAAAAACTTATAATTCTTGTTCTAGAAGTTCATTCATGCATTCCGAAACAGCTTCTAGAAACATAAAATTTAATTTATTGAAGTGGCTGTGCTCACTAAACCACTCTGTTGAGATTATTTCTGTAATTTATATTGTTTGATATTATTAGTGTTCATATGAATTGATAATATTAATTTCATGTTCAAATTCTAAATATTTTAAAATCATATCAGTGTGTACTTTATGGTTAGCGGTTACTAATGGTTTGAATTTATGAAAAAAGTATTGTGTGTACACTTTCGTATTGATTGTTAATGATAAAAAGTGGATGAACATTTGATTACTGAGTAAATACTAATACTAAAACTGTTGCATTATATCATAAGATAAAAGTTCTTCAAATAAAGAAAAGAAATAACTTTAAATAATGTAATCACTAGTGACTGGCTTCAAGATGGATTTTCTGGAGTTCTAGTAAGAAGCCGTGATTTGTGGAGTCCAATCCATGTCGGGTAGAGACAGGTATCTACCTCAGACAATCGTTGAATTGTTGCGCAAGACCATGAATCGATTGAAGTTAGACGTTAACATCGTTAGATGTCGGCTCAGTGGTCTAGAGGTTAAGCGTCCGCGTGAGGAATCGTAGTTAAAAACTCCTGAGGAGTCTCATACTAGGATGTAATGGCCGTTGAGTTCTTCCAGATTACCAATAATGGTCTACCTTAAATTGACTAGTGGACTCAATCATTAAAAATTACTACAATCTCCACAAACCTCCATTCTAATAATAACTTGAAATTACTTTATAAGTTTTCTTTAGTTGTGAAGGTAGATTGATCACGCAGTTGTTGTGAAGGTGAAAATTCACTTATTAAATAGATCATTTATCTTGTTAATGCAGTTAAGCTTTAACGAATGTCAACATAAAATATGAATGGATTTTTGGTTAGTTTTCGTCATTGGATGACATCAGTTATGTTGTTAATGAAAAACTTAGAGGATCGGACAAAGTTTTCCTTCTATTATGGAAGTACTTAGCTGTGTACCACCACTTTAGCACCATAGATTGGACATAGAATCTTCAAATCACTTAGTTAACGCATTATCTTTTAAACATTAATTTCCAATTAAAAGGTTTAAATTAAACAAATCATCACATCAATTGTCAACCAAATGTGAACTTTTAAACAAATTCTAGGAATCCTTAAATATGAAAGTTCCTAATTAGTTGATTTCTTTTATCTTAGAATTTATGTTAACTATATTCTCGAAGATTTTATGTCATCATTTTTAAACTTGAGTTTCATCCACATTTCTAATAAAGCAATGGTACATTATTGAAAAGGTAATTAATAGGTATAAATTGGAAATAAACTAAATATTTGAATTATTAATTGTTGACTATTTTCATTAGTGGTAGACTAAATATACAAACGATATAACATTTATAACTGTCTTATGTGCCACTTATTGTTACTGACTCAGTAATAATGATGTCAATAAATTAATATGATAATTATATAAAATATACATTTACACAAATAGTAATTTAATAAAATGTATCATTGTAGTGTTTTATTCATTTTATTTTCTTATTTTCAAGCTAATTTATTTATTGTCATTTTGGGTTGTGGTGATCGTTGCATTTCATTTTAATTATGGACCGATATAAGTTAGACCACTACTGAAAATCTGGAAGCCCTAGACAGCCGTTTCGGTTTAGTGTAGTACTTCTCAGATGTGTATATTGACAACTACACATCCGGGCATCGAACTAAAGACCTTAAGTTTTGCACACTGGCGTTTAACATCTAGATCAATGTGTCGGCGTCCAATGGTGTTGATATTTATTTATTATTTATTTATTTAAACACATAAACATTGTTACAAGGAGGCACCAAATATATATGAGTCACATAAATCATTCGATTTGTGTGAGGGCTGAGATACTGCCCGGGTGCCCAAACCGAAGCATGTGGCCTACTTAGGGGGCCACCCTCGGAGCTTTCGACATAAAGGTCTGATCTACAAGGCACTGGAGCAACGTGAGGAGATGCAGTCCCATGGTAGTGGGTGACAACCAATAGGTTCATACATCATTTGTTCCTCCAGTATACCGGAGCCCATATACACAAGTGGTTTGGAATCACGGTTTTCAACTCCCCTAAGTAGACACTCCGTATCCACCAACCCAGTTATAGCGTCGAACACTCGCTTTTCGTCCTCTCAATTTCGTAAGCAACACGCCCGCCACGAGGAAGCATTCATAAGAACTTCAAATCAATTTAATGATTTCTATGTGTTTTCATCTATTGTTTCTCATCATTTATTCATCAAATAAAAAACAGCACTAAACTTTAGAAAAAAAATTTTCAGAAAAATTTGGTAAAATTGTTATTTTATGTTTTTTTTTTAAAAAAACAAACAAACAAAAGACAAGGTCATAAGTTCACAAATATTTTGCCAATTTTTTTTTGTATTATGTATATAACAGTAGTATGAATTTATTAATTATCATTAAGATCAGGGAAGAAGAAAAGAAATACATTCCATTACTATATTTATAATAGAAAAAGAAATATTGTTCATACAAAATTGTTAGATTCTGTTGTTAGTTGATTTATTTGTGATTTCATTTTTGATTGTTCTTCTAAGATCTAATATAAAAATTGAAAGAAGAACATGCATGAAAATAAGATATAAAACCGTTATATTTGACATTAAATAAATATACGGTTGTATAATAGAGTTTTATGCTATAGTAGAGAGATAAAAGAAACGATACAGTTCATAAAGTGTTCCTTATGGAAGGAAGCTGTTAGCTAATTTTATCAAGGTAATAAGAATGAGTTTCACATTTAAAACAAGTTTACAGTATTGAACTATCAAACTAATGGAAAATAATTGTTTATTAGTATGTTAAGTAGTTAATCGTTCATTCATTTGTTTTTCAGTCATTCTATTCACGATGAACATATGTTCAGTCTTGAATATGAAGAACCGGATAACTTAAAGGGTTATTGATAATAATGTAAATATTATATTCTTCGAGCAATCTAATAGTTATCTGAACTTAATGACTTATTAGGTAATATAGTATTTTGGAGCGAAAGGTACTTGGTTTGAGTCTCAATATAAATACCAATACTGAGATGCAAGTATGTCCAGTTAGTGAGTCTCAAATAGTACAAACCGCACGTCATGGATTGTGCTACTAGCTCACATCAAATCAAATTTCCATAGGAATGATTCAATCTGAAGTTTAATTCATTTTGAAAATAAACTATATCTACTGATAGGCCAACTCTGTATGGTTTGAAAAGAAAAGGGAGGTCTAAGCAATCTGAAAACACAAATTAGTAATTGTATTTCCAAACAAATTAACATTATAACAGATAATTGTATTAAAGGTAACAGTTGCACACTATAATACAGACTAAATCTAATAATCTTATTAACAAGATTTTATCAAATTACTACTTTATAATGAATAACACTAGGTGAGACTATAATTTGTGGACGAACCAATCAAATTTAAGATAAAAGGTTTCGAATTTCGGCGCGTAATTCACCCATCCATTTGGCTAAATAAAATTTTGGCATTATAGCTGATATCAGTTCGTGATGAAAACTCCAAATCTAATTTCGAACTTTAACTATCAACTTTATATCATAATTCTAATTTCTCACGTTGGTTTGCAACCCTCATTTGATCCTAGTTATCAGGCGAACACTCTCAAGTTCAGTTTAGCGTCGCTGAAAGATCGTCTATAAATTAAAGTCTCACCTGTTTTTTTAAATCCGACTAAACGACGCATATTTTACATTGTAATTTTATTTTAATGATTATTCTTTAGTTAGTTACAAGTGAGAAAAACAAACAATTTTGTTTTCATAACGCAATAAGGGATTTCGTAATAGTGAACAATATTTCAAACCAACTTCAATTTTTTGAAGGATAATGTACAAGTTTTTAGTTTATTCTACTTAAAATTATTGATGCTTAAAATTTTATTCTAACGTTGTTAGAAAATATTAGAGAAAATAATAATGGTAAAAGGAATCCCCATACATCAAGCATTTGTATAGATTGCTATACTACTTAAATTGTATTAATGGTATAATTATTAAAATAGTTAAGTAATATAGGAAAAGTTAAACGAGTGTATTTAGAAAGGAAATAAAAATAAGATTTTATAAAGAATAAAAAAATCTTAACGAATTCACATAAGGTGGTAAACTGATTAATAGACATAAACATGATGCTATTATATTCACTGATGAAATGTAATATACATAGTGAACAGTTCTAGCTAATTGTATATCTATCTATCTATCTATCTATCTATCTATCTATCTATCTATCTATCTATCTATCTATCTATCTATCTATCTATCTATCTATCTATCTATCTATCTATCTATCTATCTATCTATCTATCTATCTATCTATCTATCTATCTATCTATCTATCTATCTATCTATCTATCTATCTATCTATCTATCTATCTATCTATCTATCTATCTATCTATCTATCTATCTATCTATCTATCTATCTATCTATCTATCTATCTATCTATCTATCTATCTATCTATCTATGGTGCTGATCACTTATCAATTGCTTTATCAATACTAGTACTTTTCTAAATACATCATCTTATTATTTTGGCTAGACATCCATTCAAAATCATGAAGTATTGGTCATAGGTTATGTCCTAGTGTGAATGTCTTCATCAGTTTACATCTCAACAATGGAATATTCCAGTAACTTCAGATCTAGAGGCGAGCTTGTTGACCAATTGTATTGAGTTGAGATCCGGTTGATCACAATTTCAACTTTAGTTAGTCTGCAATTTTGTCCAGTCGCCAGCTGGTGCCTTCTGGTATCCAAAGGTTCAGACTACCACCTAAGAATACATCTGTCCATATATAGAGTTTAATATAAGATGTAAGTGACGTATTAAACATACCTCACATTATCATTATATAGTAGTTTTATAAAGCAGAGGTGAAAGTTACTACAGAACATCATGAGTTCAAACTTAGTTTCTTGAGAAACAGTTAAAAATATTTCACTTGACTTGCGTAAATAATTACTCATATTTTTTATAAATAGACAAGTAGAATTTATTTCAGAACAGAAAAAGCGAGATAATCTATAACTTGGCCAATTATAAGAAACATTTCTGAATTATTGTCCATAAAATAGACTAAGAGATAACATTAGAACCACTTAAAAGTATTAGTAGTAGTGATGTAATTACAATGAAAGCGATAATAACAATGACAAGAATAATATTTAAATGGTCTTCGTTACAGTTGATGTACCAATGAAAACATAACAAGGGAATTGTTGGGTAGAACAAAACTCTTTGCATACATATGAAATGAATGAGAAGTGGCAATCTGTTTTTATTCTGTTTAGTAAATACTATAGTAAATGAATATACTACATTGAGATGGAGAAAGTTTGTAGCTCAAGTGGATGATTTTGTTAGAGTTAATGTTCTCTGAAGTGAATGATCATTCTTCTGAACAACATCATCAGAACAAACGTTAGGTAGAAGCGAAGTATTCGAATTTCTCCACGACATAATGATCCAGCTCAGAGAACTAAACTCCACCAAATATACTACACCACATGAGTCCATGACTTATTTGGTTATAGTTATTCTAGGTATCTATAACTTCTTGTCAAACCAACACAATGGTCTTAAATAATTGAATTTAATAGAATATGACCTAGTTTATAGTATTTGATTAGTGTTATGGATTACATGACTACTTTACATAGTGTCAAATAATTAAATTCTGTAGTTGTCATCATTTTCGATGGCATAAGGTGAAAACGTAAAGTCTCGAAACACTATCAGAATGTACTGTCAACTGACGACAAGAGATGATCGCTATGACTTAAGAGATAAGGCAGCCAGAATAAAAAATGGCTGTCTTGTAGAATAAGTTTCATTTATAATATTCTTTCTAGACCTATGGAGTCTGATTTCATCTAGAATTAAGGGCAAAACTGATAATTATTTTGGAACCTGACAATATAATACAAAGGGTATATTTCTCTTAGTATGGTGTATTACTGTTGTAAAATGTTTAGGAATTAGATGAAGAGTCTTGCACTTGAAAACAGAGAACGAGATTGCTCATTATAATAAGGCAACATCATGACTGAATTTATTTAATGATGTCTACAAGTAGGGCAATATGTCTAATTTCCTAAAGCTTTATTAAGGTGTACGTAATACTTAGTTATGACTTTCATTTAGCCATTTACATGGCTGGTGGGGCGAGTCTATGAAAAGTGGACAAACCAATAAGACTTAAGGTAACAGGTCTCGAATTTTAGCGGAAAATTCATACACACTAAATACTATTTCGGCATTATAGCTGATGTCAGTTCATGATGAAAACTCTAAATCTTATTCCTAACCCTAACCATCAACTGAAAATCATAATTGCAATTTCTCACACCAATTTATTCCCCTCATTTAGTCCTAGTTAGTAGGTGGATATTTTCAAGGTCATTTTAGCGTTGCTCAAAGGCCGTCCAAAAATTATAGGTTGACAATAAATAAACCTTATATGCTGATATTGTTCCACAAAATCTATACGGAAAAGTTTAACTTACATAGCTACGTTGAAGATAGTAACTAACAAACTAGATATACATTATAGCTTAGCGGAATAAAGTGATACATGCACATGACGGAATATATAAAAAACATTGTTATATAAAAAATCGTAGTTATCCACAATCTATTCAATCAGTTGTGTATATTTTTCAATTATAAGGCACATTGATAAATGAAAACACCCAAAATGTTCAATATTATTATTTTTATACCTGTAGGTAATAAGGCCAAATTTTCGGTATGTAGTAGGTAAATATCTTGATTAACTGTGGAATATATATTTTAAAATAATATTGATTTTTATCCATTGATTTGGTGAAATTCCTCAAATGTGTTTTGAATGGTATCTTGTAAGATTCGTCTATTTCCTTCTGTCTAATTAGTTGGATGAACTGATTCAGCTGTTCATAATTGGAATTTTCATTCCACCATTGTTCACCGATTCTATCAGTGGCACATTGCCCTATAGAGCTAACATTGTTTCTAATGCTTTCAAATAAACTATACTGCATGAAATCAATTTATAAATAAAAGAAGAAAGAAAGTGAGTAGTATTTAGTGCATATATACGCAACTCAAAATCGTAACTAATACATAAAAACATGCTTCAGAGAGGGTTATCTGCAATCATTTTGGAATTAATCGTCTCCATATGATAGGGTCTCATATTATTGCATGTCACAGAAATATTACCACCAGGTATCAAAGACTCGGCACTGAAATATTGGGTCAATTAGGCCAGTACCTACATTACGAATGGATTGCTGTGATCTAGTTTGACAATGAAATGAAAAAAAATAATTCATCGGGACTAAGTGATATATTACCCTATTATATTTCAATCAACCTGGTCACATACTAACTTATCAAGATATTTATATGACAAATGAAAGACCAAACAAGACTAATTGGTTGAAAAGAACAATTAAGATTGTAAGAAAATTTAGACAACAGGACTGTTAATTTCAGATTGAAAGTCATTATTAGCAGAGTAGGTTATTATATGGTTTCGTCATCAGAACAACTAGAGAATTGCTGGATAATGTGACCTTGATGCAAATGTGTTTGCCTTTATTTGCAATACCCAAGTGAAAATAATCAGATATACGTAGGAAAAGTTACTTCGGTAGCAAACTGCAATTCTTTTCATGTCGGAAGTTATATTTCCTTTGTCAGTGACTTCAATATATGCTATGAAACAAATGATTTAGAGAACAAGGTTTTGATACAAAAAGCGTACGCATCAGCAAAATAAGCTTGTAGTTCTAATATATAGAAGGTTTCATTAAAATGGTATCTAGGATATAAGGATAAAATATTCACTAATATCTATTATGTTCTCACTTTATTCAGTATTGTATTGGGAAAAATTGTCACATATTTGAATTTAAACATGACCAACTTTAAAACTGTGCTATATTCATCTACTGAAAACTAATATCATATTCTGACGATACATACTGATCAGAACAAAGTCTAATCTAAGATAAAAAAATATTTTATTCCGGGTTAAGGTCATGTTTATTAGTACCTTATTAGAGTTCTAGTTTAAGTGCAAACAACAAACCTATGATGTATTCTACACTCAACTGATAAATCCAGAATAGGACTAAAAGGAACCCATAGATTTCACTGCTATCCGCATTTCAAATATACTAAAATGTGTGTCTAAAGACCAAATCGAGATAACCAACCTAGACTGCACATATAGCAATCGCGGTCTTGAATACCAAGGACGGGTTAATACAAACACCTACTTATAACTACGTATTTAATTATGAGTTACTGTGTTTATCAGAATAAAACACATGACTAAACAAGGAATACAGGCCGTTTTAAAGATTTCCAATCTTTAAGGTTGAAATGAGAGCATGAGTAGTCGAAAATACTTTATTAATTTATTATATAATAATTAAGATAAGGCAGCTGATTACACCACACCCGGTTGTTTGAATTATCTTGACTATACATAGCATCGCTGAAATCGATGACTCAGTAAATTTAGTGGAAATTCCCATTTTGACATTTGGCAAATAAAGAAGGGACGAATTGAGAGAAGAAATTCCTTTTCAATTAGTTTTTCATCATGGCTCTACACTAATATATATATATATATATATATATATATATATATATATATATATCCATCAATTAATTTTACATCAGAAGATGAACAGAACAATAACATATCATTTCTAGATGTCCAACTAACTAGACAAGCAGACGGAACTTTAAAAAGAGGGGTACGCAGAAAGTTTTCAACGGGACAATACACTTATTTCTACAGTGCAGTTCCAATCAAATACAAAAAGAAAGTGATAAAATTTTTGACTCATCGTGCCAGAATGATTTGTTCGAAAGACACCATTAAAAGTGAATTGGTTAATATTTGGAACTTAGTATGAATGGGTACCCTGTGAAATTCATCGACAAACACATAATGGAAATGAAAACAAGGGCAAATATACCTACCGTCTCTAAGAAAGTACTGTTCATAAAATTACAATTCATAAATGACACTACTGAAGAAATCGTGACTCAGAAACTAAGAAGAGCAGTACAAAAAACATTTAATGCAGCCAGACTGAATGCTATCTTCTACAACCACCCCAAAATAAGAACGGTCAATAAACACAGACTGCCTGAATTCGCCAAATCCATGTGTACCTATCGGTTCAACTGCTCCTGTGGAGCCAATTATATAGGGCGTACAATTCGGCAAGTATTACAGGGCACCATCCGCCGTGGTTAAGCAAAGGACAGGTAAAAGTGATTAAAAGTTCTATTCTCGCTCACTTGGTTGACACAGGTCACCAAGTTGAATTGAATAAAGCTTTTAAGGTCATCTATCATATCCCATCAAATTTACCACATGGTTTACGAGTTCGCCTTTTGCACATTGCGCAAGCCATCGCAATCGATGTTCACAAACCTAACTTTTGTATTCAAAAGAAATTTGTACAACCACTTTCGCTGCCTTGGCCATCGGTATAAGAGTTCCTTCAACAGAACTATTTTTCATACTTCTTCCATTTGGTTTTTTTAATTTTTTAATTGTGTTTTTGTTGTTTTTGAACTTTATAATTGCTCAGCATTCATCACTTGATTCTTACGTAACTACTATTCTGTTAACCATATATTATAAAACGTAGCAACTTCTTGATTTAATAATTACTTTGAATATTAATAATCCTCTTTCTTCCAATTATTCAATGTTAATTTAAATGTCGTTATGCAATTATTACGTAATGTATCCACTCGATGAGTATTATATCATTATTGTAAATCATATATATATATATATATATATATATATATATATATATATATTAGTGTAGAGCCATGATGAAAAACTAATTGAGAAGAAATTTCTTCGCTCAATTCTTTCCTTCAATAAATTTAAGTCAATCCTTTTTAAAGGATTGTTGATTCGGAGACATCAATTTTGTGTGCTATTCAACTGAGTAAAATACTTTCACCAACCTATCATCAAAGATTGTTATATATTCTGAAGATGTGGGAATTTGTTTCATACATTTTCTATGTTCCTTCACCAACATATTCACTTGTTTTTATGTTCTACTGACATATACAGTAGTGTAAGCAGCACATTTGACGTCCTAGATAAAACTTTGTTTCTTCTAATGGAGTTTTGTTCTCTGAGCTGGATGGTTTGGTCGTGGAGCTTTCGTCGTTCTTCTGAATGACATCATCAGCACAAACTTCTGTTTTAGCGTTGTATTAACACTGACTTTCATGCATGGGGAACGAAGGGTATCGTTTGTTTGAATCCATACCTTTATATTATGTTTATATTGTTTATTAAGGGATTACACATTATTGAGCGATACACATCCAAAATATATCCACATACCAGGGAATTTAAAATACTCACAGCGATTTTGAAGCGTTCATTCACCTGTTTTAAATAAACTGTAATATTTCCTAGTTTCTCGGAATTTCTGGTATCATTAACAAGAAGATTGTAAATAATTTCACTAATCTTTGATGGCATTTTTATCCATATATTGTGGATTTCGACCATAGAATACCAAAAAGCATCAAAAGCATTAAAACTTATTTCTTGTTTTAAACAGAAAAGAAAACAAAATAAATAAATTTAAATGGGATAAAATGATGCCATTTGTAAAATATGATTTAGCTAATTTAAAAATTATCAAAAAAAAAAATAATAATGAAGTAAAACAGTGAATAAAATGTTCTCATCTTTTTTTTCCAATCTTGTTTAACATCATTATATTTTATTTTAAAGTAATACTGTGGTGTGTACTACTTAGGTCGACATATATATGTAACATGTATAGTACCAATCGAAAGTGAAATGCCTAGCAGCAGTAGGTTGAGAAGATCGAATAGAAGAGGACGGGAACAGATACTGATTGGTATGGAAATGAAGGAACAACAAAGTCTGAGACAATCAATAGACATTATACAAATAAATTATTGAATATATCGTATTCATGTTTTACTAAATAACGCTCTACTTTATCATTATAAATCTGCAATTTAAAGTTCAAATGTTTTGCACCGGTTATCTAATTCAGAATAACTATTGAAAAAAAAAGTATTTTCAGATCATTATTTACATAGTATTATGATTAAATACATTTTTGCTTATGTCATAGTTTAAGTTATAATGTTCATACTAATTTACAATTAAGATTGCTGAAGGCTAAAATAGACAACTGGAGTCATAAATCGTGATTATCAAATAATTAGAATTTTTTTAAAAAAATATGGAGTAAAGTTAGTTTCATCTTCAGTAGGTAGATTACATCTGAATATTAAAAGCTCAAATAGAATATTATTATTCACTACTTTAAATTAATGATATTTTAGTTGTATGAATGCATTGTCATAAATTAATAAATACATGATTCTTTTTAATAGATTTATTTTAATTGGAAAACTAAACAAATTTATGGGTAAAAACCTATATTATTATCATTCCAGATTCGAATGAATCGTTTTATATGTTTTACTCAATTATACTATTAAAAAGTCATGAAGATATTATCAGTAGTATTTTGTATTGTTACATCATATTCACACTTACTTAAACCTTTAATTGAATCTTTGGAAAAATCTTCTGATTTCTCGATTGTTGTATTTACCAAATAATCAAGAAATGGATTAATATTGTCAATTAATTTTTGGAAAGAATTATGTTGTGTATTTGATTCTATATATATCTGAAATTATACAAATTAGTGTATTTCATTTAAGAAAGGAATATCATTTATGGTTTTATTAAAGGTGAGTAAGGAAGTGGTAATGAAAAAATGCTTAGCCAAAATAAGTTGGGCAGATCCCCTGAAACTAGGTTCCTTGATAATTGGTACTGATCATGAAAGTAAGTCTGTAATCTTCGAGGAGTTAATATTCTTTGGTAAATTCAAACCAATATCATCCAGCTTTATTGTCTGAGACTACCATTGGACTATTTGGTCTGCTACTAACCTCTCACAGGACTAAGATATTTACAATGGGATGATCACTGAATAATGGTTAGTGTTGTGTTTGTCTAGTCCTTTACTTACAAATATGCCTTGCTGACAGCTGTCAACAGTCATAAAACTTAAATACAGGGTTTTGTGCCTTCTATTTTCATACTCCCAGGAAAGTTTAATGTGTCTAAATGGGAACATACTTTTGCGTGTTATTTCAGGAAAATAGTTGAGCATCTCTCTGATAGCTCTTTTGCGCACACGCTTGTCACAGAAAATAGTATATTCCCGTCTGACGTCGATGTATTTACCTAATTCGATGTGATTATTGATGCAATCATTATCTCCAGTTGCTGTAAGATTCTTGAAAATCTAACTGGTATTTCAAATTAGTTTTACACTTCAAAAATGTTTTACAGTCAAGTTGAACAAGGTATAATAAGTAAGAAAAATGTACTGTGAATTCAAACCTCACAATATTCAAAACATTTATCATCTTATCAACTTTAGTGGTAGGTGAATTATTCAGTCGACGTATTTCACTTGAGTATTTTTCTTCTCTTTTTCAAATTACTCACTACATTAAAGACCACTATAGTATTCTGAATTGAGTGAAGAATAAAAAATCATTATATCTTCTAATTCTCCTTCTTTCTTTCTGTCTAACTTTTAAATATTCTTTTATATCATTAAAAAAATTCTCAAAGCAGCCAGTAGATAGACCGAAGCATCTTGTCACTATTACGAAGAATTTTCTGGTGATTACAAAATGATAAAAAAGTTGTCTAGTCAATTTACTTATTCAATATTGATTCTAATCAATGTTAAAATCCTTTAATTTATATTTTAATGATATTATTTGTACAATATTCGTGAAATTATGAATAGTAAGATAAGTCTACTGGATATCTGTGAAATTCCAAAATGTCTGGTAGATGTACTGTAGTCGGTTGTTTTCAGAATTTTAATCGTTTGAAATCACTAATATTTTACTATCTATTTCTCTGCATTGATCGTAATATATTTCGATAATTCACTGGGAAATGTTATAGTTGTAAAAGGCAATACAAATAAAACTAGGGGAATTTTAGAAGCTTGGCATTGAGACCAAACGCAGTCAATAAACGCATAGAAATCGATCCAATTCACTTACTAATTAGAAAACATTATATACAACTATATAACCAAAAGTCAAGCCAAGTTGGAAGACCGTCAAAATAAATATACAATTAGTTACCGGGCTGACGTTGATAACAGCCAATCATTGTTAGCAAAACAAGCTGTCAGTTACATGCTCTTAATTACTTACTCCTGTTACCCTTGTGGAGGAGCATAGACCATCCAATAACATTCTACATCAAACTTTGTCCTAGAGAATCCTTTCTAGTTCTTTCTAGTTGCTTTACTTCCTTTACATGTCTGCTACCGATTCCCGACGTACTGTATTCTTCGGCCTACCTACTTTCCTTGTAATCGTTTGCCTCGTGATGCACTTTGATGATTTCCGTAACATACGTTCTATCCATTTGCAGCATCTTTTCCTCCTCAGCTGGAATCTGAATTGTTCTCTCCCACAGTAGGCGGTCAACGGAGTATCTTGTGTAGACAACTATTTATAAATACTTGTACCTTCTTGATTATGGTTGTGGTAGTTCTTCACGTTTCAGCTCCGTACAGTAGAACTGCTTTTACGTTCGTATTGAAGATTCTGACATTGTTATTGGCTTGTAGACACTTGTTTTGAGTTTCATATATTCTCTAATTGTTTGAATGTGGTCCTTACTTTAGCATTTCTCGCCTTTACGTCTGCATAAGATCTTCCACGTTCATCGATGATGCTTATTTGGTACGTGAAAGATTCCACATCTTCCAGAGCTTCTCCACCAAATGTGATTGGGTTAGTGCTGTTTATGTTGTATTGAGGACCTCGTTTTTTCCCTTGTGTATGTTGAGGCATACTGATGCAGGAGCTCCTGCTACACTAGTTGTCTTCATCTGCATTTGTACGTGTGTATGGGACAAAATAACCAGGTTAGTTATATGGGGTGAAATCTAATAGTTCATTTTCATCTGAAGCTTGTTCTGGTTTACCATCCAAAAAACAATCAAACCTTTATGCAATTTAAAAAAAATTCTTCTCCTGAGTTACGACTCTACCCCATCACATCGTAAAGTGGTCTATGTCATTTATTGAAGCATAATTTTAACAATTAACTAATTAGTGTCAGATGGGGTTTTGTGGATATTATAGTAACTTTGATAGTTGAGACCATGAATCAATTAAAGCTAGAGCATCATGAAGAAATCTTGCGAGACGGGATCGTGAATGCACACTGCTGAGGAGTCCCACAATAGGATGAAACGGCCGTCCAGTGCTTCCAGGTTTTCTATGGTCTTCTAGCTTCAATTGACTTGTGATCTCAACTTCTAAATTATTTTTGTTTTAACAAAGTATATTTTATGATTTATTGGCATACTTAAAACAAGAATTTTAAATTAAAAGTTAACAACTAAAATATTATTTTATCCGATTATAATGAATAACTGAAGAACAGTTAGCTAATCTCGATTATACTTAACAGTAGTAGTTTGAACTGCCATATTTATGAAATTTAGTGATTTTCATATAAATGTATGAAGGCAATAAATCAGAATTGCATATCAATGTAATTTGATTATAGTATAAAATTTGGTTACAGCTTAGTGATCAAGAGATCAACCGTTTGTACACCGAACTGAAGGTCCTCAGTTTGATTCTCGGATGTGAAGTAATGGTTACACACTACTGATGAGTTCTACACCAGAACGAAGCGACCGTTCAGTGCTTCCAGGTCTTCACTGGTGATCTAGTTAACAACGGTTCATGATTTAAACTATGAAAGCATTTAAAACATTGAATGTTAGTCTAAAAAACGACTAATTTCTTTAATTAGGGAAATTGTTAGTGTCAAGAGATTCATATTTCTATAGTGTTTGATAAGAACTAACTGATTATATGCTAACAGAAATGTATACCAACGTTAAGATTAGAAAAATGTTGAATGCAATACATTTGTTTTTCGTGCGAAAAAAAAACATATTTACTATTCATGCGGAATACTTATTTTCTTCTTCAAATCAAACTAAGTCTTTTCTGTTGTTGAATAACATTTGAGTATTCTTCCGTTGTAATTTTATATTTTCGTTAAAAATGTACTAATAATCAGTGAAATATACATTTAGTTGGTAAAGTTGATCAAAAGTGAACTCTAAACTTTGATTCTGAGCCAGTTAAAGGTTTGCCGTAATGATCACGTCCGCCAAGTTGTATAAGAATTTACTGTTAATATTATTTACAATTTACTGTATTGTATCGTGGTAACAAATATCGTCACTGGGAAACGAAATCTATACTTGACTATCTGGAATAACATGGCAGGTAAATATAGAATTTATAACTTTATGGTAGCTAATGAAATACACTTACAAACAGTACAATTGTTTTATTAACTGTGGTTAAAAATATGAACATTAATTTCAAAGCACCCTTTCAACTGATCAATACAAAAGTGTAATGAATTAGCTTAGTCAAAATATAAAATGATTCTCAGTGACTTTCAATTCACAAATAATTATTGTCTAGATTACTCCTAATACCGATTATTTCTGTTAGATATTATCGGTATAGATAAGTAATTGATACATTTTCTAGTCCTTACGTAACAATCAATCCGATACTTTGGGAAACTTATTTCGCGTATTATTGAGGATGTAATGATGAACAACTCTGAGGATCTACATATCACTTTGTCAAGATTGGTTAGATATCTAAAAACATGGAAATCTTCTGAATAATCAATGTACATACTTCTTATGTTTATTAATTAAATGATTGGTTTATGGTATACTTTGTCTTGTTCTGATGGCAAACGTTTATTTGACTCATGGACGGTATTCATGCCTTTTTCATGTTCATAAATTATAGTTCATTAGTAATATAGTTCTTACTTTGATTGTACTACATATGTCTTAGTGATGTAAACGATGAGACTAATTAGCTATTTTGCATTACGATCTTGTATTTTATGTATGTAACCATTTGATTTTTCATGCTTGAATGATACAGAATAGTACAAAGTACTTGGATGTTCTCTCTTTTTCTCTGATTCATAGTTTGGGACTGGGCAGTTTATATATATATAATCTCAGTCTGTGAACCTATTGTCATTAACTTTAACAAAATCATAGCATGTTCATTTTGTGTTTTGACCATGTCTTGTTTTATTCAACATACATTTCTCATAATTACTTACTATCCATCACAATATCTGACAAGAAATTTAGTTCATCTACAAATTATTTCTATTTTGTTAGTTATTGTAATTGAAATCAAATTAAATTATGTTCAGAATACTCCAAGATAAATGTTAAACATTTTTGTCACAAATGAGAGTTTGAAATATATATTCACCATTATAAAAAAGCGGTGTATATATTAACCCAACAATTCAATTGAACAGAAACAAATGAGTTCGAGATGGTGGAGAAGATTTGTAGCTCAGATGGATGATTTTGATGGAGTTTTGTTCTCTGAGCTGGATGGTTTGGTCGTGGAGCTTTCATCGTTCTTCTGAACGACATCATCAGCACAAACTTCAGATAGAAGTGAAGTGTTCGAATTTCTCCATATGTGTTTCACAGCTTGTTCTGTGCACCTCGATGTTGATTGGTTCTTATTGACCTTAAATTTGTCATTGTTTACTTTTTTGTTTTTATTTTGTCCCCTATTGGTTTGATTCTTGTTCCTATATTCGTGCATAAGTTTCCTGATTGGTTGATAAATCGGATCAATTTCAATATGTTTGTTGATTGCTGATTGACCTGAGTGCCAAGCTTCTAAGAATTCTCTTGTGTTTTTAGAGTTTCCTCTGTCCAAGATTTCCACATTTTTCCAATCGAATGTGTGTCCACAGTTGTCCACGTGTATTGATATAAGTGAGGAGATATCATGCCGTTTGACTGCTAATTGATGTTCATGTAGGCGCAGGTGAAGGGGGCGTCCGCTTTGTCCGATGTAGTGTTTGTCGCAGTTGACACAATTTATTTTGTAGATGATGTTTGATTTATCTTCTTTTGTTATTTTATCCTTTGGTTTGCATAGAATTGACTGTAGTGATTTTGTCGGTTTGTGTACCACACCTATTCCGAAGGTTTTTAGCAGTCTTGTTGCGGTCTCTGATATGCCATTTATGTATGGTAGTGTGATCCGTTTGTCAATTCCTGTGCTTGATTTGTGTTCTGATGCTGCATGTGGTTGGTATTTTTTGATGAAGTTGATTGGGTAGCCATTCTTTTGAAATACGTCCTTCAGGTATTTCTCTTCCTTTCTTCGTGCTGCCAGTGTGCTGCAGTGTGTCCTCGCCCTCTTGAACAAAGTTTGTACGCAGTTGATTTTATGTGCTCTTGAGTTGTTGCTATTGTAATTAAGAATTTGATCTGTGTGGGTCGGTTTCCTATATACTTGAGTTTCTAGTTTTCCTGTATTAGTTCTAGTGATTAATATATCCAAGAATGGTAGTTTGTTGTTTGTCTCCTGTTCCATTGTGAACTTGATGTCATCGAAGACGTTGTTGATCAGTTTGTAAGTGTTTTCTAGCTCATTCTTTTTGACCATGACGAATGTGTCGTCTACATAGCGAATCCAGATTTTTGGTTTGATCACAGGTAGTATTGCGGCTTCTAGTCTTTGCATCACTGCTTCTGCGATCACTCCTGATATTGGTGACCCCATTGGTGTGGCACACAAACCGACAAAATCACTACAGTCAATTCTATGCAAACCAAAGGATAAAATAACAAAAGAAGATAAATCAAACATCATCTACAAAATAAATTGTGTCAACTGCGACAAACACTACATCGGACAAAGCGGACGCCCCCTTCACCTGCGCCTACATGAACATCAATTAGCAGTCAAACGGCATGATATCTCCTCACTTATATCAATACACGTGGACAACTGTGGACACACATTCGATTGGAAAAATGTGGAAATCTTGGACAGAGGAAACTCTAAAAACACAAGAGAATTCTTAGAAGCTTGGCACTCAGGTCAATCAGCAATCAACAAACATATTGAAATTGATCCGATTTATCAACCAATCAGGAAACTTATGCACGAATATAGGAACAAGAATCAAACCAATAGGGGACAAAATAAAAACAAAAAAGTAAACAATGACAAATTTAAGGTCAATAAGAACCAATCAACATCGAGGTGCACAGAACAAGCTGTGAAACACATATGGAGAAATTCGAACACTTCACTTCTATCTGAAGTTTGTGCTGATGATGTCGTTCAGAAGAACGATGAAAGCTCCACGACCAAACCATCCAGCTCAGAGAACAAAACTCCATCAAAACAAATGAGTTCCAATGGTCAAATAAGATCACAGACATCTTCCAACATCGCGAAACATTTGATTAAGACTGACCATAAGATTTACCAGAAGGGGTTTTACGGAGATTTTAGTAATTTCAGTAGTTGAAATCATATGTCAATTGAAGCTAGATCACCATAGAAAACCTGAAAACACTGGACAGCCGTTTCGTCCTAGTATGGGGCTCCTCAGCAGTGCGCATCCACGATTCTGCCCCCGCGAGATTCGAAACCAGGACCTATCGAGTCAGAATTTTTAGTGTTGTACAAAAGTCTTCAAGGAAAAATACTAAGGTTTATTGAAGCCTTGGCTACATGGAATATAAAACCTCCTTTATGCGTTCAAATACAACTTGTTCTTAACCTTAACCTACCCTGGTAATACTGTTTTGTTTTCCAGAGTGGTTACCACATTGTTTTTGTGTACTTTATTTTTCTTCTTTGTTTCGGCTTATCTTTAATCTGTCTAGTTGACCTTCTAATTTCCATAGAAAAATATCTCAACAAGTATATTACTTGTGGTTAGATTGTTCGAAATGTACTGAGTAAATATATTACATAATTCTGATAAACTTCATCTTCTCATTGTATTATACAAAATTAAATAATCACTATGGGATTATAAAGGCTATTAAATTTTTGATCCATAATCCCAATGATGGTTATTTAACATGAATCAATTCATGATCTCAGTGATCATCATCATCATCATCAAAAACAACAACAACAACAAAAAACACACATTAAACTAAAGATATTAACATTGTAATATATTACATAACTTACCATTAAATCTTTATAAATGTTATCAAAATTTTTAATTAAATTGAATTTAGATTGAATTAAATTAATAAAAATTTTATTGTATCCATGCAATTTTTCTAGAAAATTTGATCTCGTTATATTCAAATTCATTGATAATATGTTTTTAATTATTGGAATATTTACTGATTCAATAAAAATATAATTATTATTCATCCAATATATAAATAAATAAGTAGTATATTCTAAATCAGAATAAATTATATTAATGAATTGATTAAATTGTATTTTATTTATAGAATTTATTAAATTATTTGTAAACATAGTAATTAATTGTTGTCCATATTGATATATTTTAGAAAAACTAAATTGAATTAAAGAATTGAATTGTTTAGGCAGTTCATTCATGGATAACTTGATATAAGAAAAAAATAATGGAAGAAAAAAAAACAAGAGAGAAGAGTGATTAGATAATATATTTTCTTTATTGAAATATGGGAATTGATAATTAGGTTCATATTGATTATTTTTTTTAAAGAGAAGTCATCCTATTCAACTAATTATAGAATTATATATTAAAAGATTAGAATGATAATTAATAATGACATTTAATATGAAACAGTAGGATTTATCAATCAAAAACAATAATAGCATAGATGACAATGTTTACAAAATTTCATATATATATATATATATATATATATATATATTCATTAAGTTGTAACTTATTGTTTACAATATCATGCTACATAATCCTTAGTTTAGGTTGGATTCTAAACACGCTATTAAACAATTTAATTAAGATTAGAATATAGTAAAATTGAAAATGAGTTTTGTTTTATGAAGACTATGGAATTGGTGAGATATATAGTTAAATTCAGTTTTTTGATATTATAATGTATCAAATGAAGAAAGTGTGAAGTAAAGAAGTTTTAATTTAGTTTGCTGAAAAGCAATTGTTTTATTTCTCTATACAGGACAATTTCATTGTTCTAAAGATGTTAAAAATATATATCAATTATTTCCTTGGTTATATGTACATATATTCTAAGTCAAATGGTAATATTGGTCACTAGATAAGTCTATTAACAATTGCTTTCAAAATATACTATTTGTGAATCCCATGTCAACATTTTGTCTCCCCTGTGCAATAATAGTAGCGTCAGAGTTTGTAACAATGCTAAGTAACGTAATTGTATTATATCCTAGCGAAGATCAAATTACGAGTTACGTCTGAGACCAATTAATGGATTAATATTATCTATACATTTTTATGGTATAACTATTTAATAATTAGATTATTTATATCTATATTCTGCTTATTATAAATTTCAATTTAACTTATAGCTTATTATTGTACGATTTACTGTTCTTAAATTATACTCAGTTTATTAATTACTGTCTCCCACGTTCACAGCCACATTTTGGTTTTACTGTGCATAAGTGTTATTTCTAATTTTATGGTGCATTGCGGTCTGTTTGGTTGATATATAAACCCAGTATGTTTAGAATAAATGATTCACATAATGGAGGCTGTTATTGGCATTCCGAACTCAGCTAGATGGGCTAGGCGAGGAATGGACCAATAGAACGCTAGGCTGATCAGACCAGACGAACGTCATTGGTTTAGTACACTACAGGGCCGTATAAGTCGTATTTTGATTGGCGAATAAATTATGTGTTTAATTTGGTTAGTAACTAACATGTTGATAATCGCATTCATCATTTATTATCTTCATCCTATAAATTAGACATTTGCGTAAATCAAAACACATACTTACTGATAATTCTTTACTTATTTCTGGACTCCAGTACGAAAACAAATGAAGAATGTTTGAATGATCTAGGTGTACTATAAGGCGACCATTCAAATTACTTTGATTGATTGACTGATGATGACTGATTACTTGTAACAGGGCGCCATAATTCTTGGTTAATTTGACTTGCAGTACTGTATCTGTGAATCAAATATATTTAATTATCTGGTACATATCATAGATTCACATGTTTCGGTTTATGATAATACAAGCTCTATTTAGTCTTATTAAGATTAGTGTAAACTTTTGATTAAATGGATTCAAACAATGACTGTTCTTGTCAAATGTTAAAGACTATAAATTAAAAGGTTTTACAACCAATTTCTTTCCTCAGTCTACATATAAAATATTTGTCATAAATATTGTCTAAAATATGGATTAGTTATTCTTCAAAAGTTTAAGAACAAAATAACGATTTATAACATGTCATGACATTTCAAAGGGTTTCTAAAATTATACATGGCGTACAAGCATGTTCCAATATTTAAATACAGTTAAACATCCGTATAATTATGAATTGAATACAGAAATTTCATTATTGTATCAGAAATACGTCTGCGATTACAAATAATAACAATTTATCATACAACACAGTGTTGCTATTAGTGTTCTACATTATATTCGATGAAATAGACTCCGGTTTACTACATATGACTAGTTTTCAGGTTATCATCTATAGCAATATTTTTCATTTTCAGTTCAGTGCAATCACAGATTCGAAACAATATCTCGTAAATGTAGTCATTTATCAGACAATAGAGATTTGGCTGTAAACTGAAAACAAACCTTATGCAGTAATAATGAATAAATCATAATTTTATTAATGTACTAGTATAAGAGGATGGAACTAGTCAAATTTAATAAATTGTGATGACCTGTACACTTAACTGATCAAAATATATCTCATTTTAGTTCAGTTAAAGTATTCATATTTTTTTAAGATAAATAATATATTTGTAATATCCCAATGTATAGAAAAATTAAATTTTCTGACGTTTCGTGACTCAGTGTAAGTCACTTCTTCAGAGAATAATTAAATAACCAAATCAAAATCAATCCAAGTTTAAATAGTACAACCGAACAACATAAATATTATTTGATCAATCAAAAAGCGTAATAATAATTCGAATGAAATACCATGGATTGGCATTGCAGCTTTACCAGACCATCATGGCATAACAAAAAAACTTCAAAGAATCTTCAAACAACACAGAATTAAAGTAAATTACAAAACAACGAACACACTTCGGAATACTTTAATTCACTTAAAAGAAAATATCCCATTCATGTCAACACAGAACTGCGTTCACAAATTAGGTTGTGTCGACTGTGATACCTTCCATATTGAAGAGTCGTTTCTCATCATAAAGGTCACACATTTTTCATCCTTAACAGTGCACACAAGCACAAATTTACATACATTCGCTCATGAACCACGTTGACCGAAATGACGTGACATTGATTTGTCCAGACTTGTTTTTTGATTGATCATATTCTTGTTGTTCGGTTGTACTATTTAAACTTGGATTAGTTTTAATTTGGCTATTTATTCTCTGAAGAAGTGACTTACACTAAGTCACGAAACATCAGAAAATCTAATTTTTATACACATTGGGATATTACAAATACATCATTTTATTTATAATAATTTACCTAATGCTCAATTTATTCGAAATTATCAAGTCAAACCTTAGTATTGATACCTATATACATATATTTACTTATATATAACGTCCGATATACAATCACCTGAAATTTCGCAAAGCATTGAAGTTATATATTTCAGTGTGTTTTTGATAGACTTTTGTTAATTTTTATTTGATGTATTTCAAATGACATGTAAACAATATGATTTGGTACACGCTTTAGTTTGAATCAAATTTTTTGATACCTCGAATGTTAGTTAATATCGAAAATCTTCAGCTTTAAAATCATCTAATTTATATAGTACAAATCAATTATTTGTTCATTAAAGATGGGAACTGGAATGGTGGGTATGATTTGTAGCTCCGGTGGATGATTTTGATGGAGTTTCGTTCTTTGAGCTGGATTATTTGGTTGTAGAGCTTTCATCATTCTTCTGAACGACATCATCAGCAAAAACTTGAGATAGAATTGAAGCGTTCGAATTTCTCCATATGTGGTTCACAGATTGCCCTGTAGACCTCAATGTTGATTAGTTCTTGTTGACATTAAACTTGTCATTGTTTACTTCCTTGTTTTGCTTGTATTTCCCATTGGTTTGATCTGGTGATTAATATATCTAAGAATGATAGTCTGTTGTTTGACTCCTGTTCCATTGTGAACTTGATGTCATCGAAGACGTTGTTGATCAGCTTGTACATGTTTTACACCTCATCTTTTTTGACGATGATGAATGTATCATCCACATAGCGAATCGAAATTTTTGGCTTGATCACTGGTAATATCGAAGCTTCTAGTATCTGCATCACTGCTTCTGTGATCAGTCCTGATATTGGTAATCTCATCGGTGTCCCTATCGTTTGTTCGTAGATTTTTTTGTTGAATTGAAAATATGTTGTTGGGCATAAATCGATGAGTTCTAGTAGACTTTGAATTTGAAGCTTCGTGTACTTTGTGAGATTTGTGTCGTTGGTAAGAAGCAGGGATATAGTTTCCTTAGCTAACATTGGTTTAATTAAGGTGAATAACGCTGTTACATCGAAGGATATCATCAGCTCGTTGTTGATGATTTGAATGTTCTTAATTTGATCCAAGAATTATGTGGGGGATTTGATGGAGTGGTTGGAAAATTATGCACAAACATAAGAATAAAAATCAAACCAATGGGAAATACAAGCAAAACAAGGAAGTAAACAATGACAAGTTTAATGTCAACAAGAACTAATCAACATCGAGGTCTACAGGGCAATCTGTGAACCACATATGGAGAAATTCGAACGCTTCAATTCTATCTCAAGTTTTTGCTGATGATGTCGTTCAGAAGAATGATGAAAGCTCTACAACCAAATAATCCAGCTCAAAGAACAAAACTCCATCAAGATATCTTTTTTTCTTTTTGTAATGATTCTTAATCTTGGTATAAAATAAGTGTTACACAGGGAAATAAAAAAACATATCGTAATTCAGTTAATCTTATTTTTTTATCAGAAAGGGGTTTTATCTCGATTTTATTAATGTAATAGTTAAATTCATGAGTCAATCACTATAGAAAACGGTTGTTTAGTGTTCCCAGGTTTTTCATAATAGTCTAGCTTTAATTGATTCATGAATTCATGAACTATGAAAGTTTTTTAGAATTTTTATCCAGGTCAAACTATCAATAATTAATTTGAGATTATATTAAGCAATTTGTTTTATTATTATGAATGGAACAATAATAGATTACTTGACAATTTTAGAATTTTTAAGTTAAAAAAATATTTCATTATGTTAATATAAAATGATTAATTAATGTACTGAAAAAAGAACAAAAATAAGAAAAAAGAAGAAAGAAGAAAAAAGGAAGAAAAAAACTGACAGAATGAGAAAATTAAAAATGATGAATTAAATTGATTTTTAGTAGAGTTTTGTGGCCTTACATATAACTCCAATTAAAAAAGTTTTTGACTTAAAGCAATATCGAGGCTATCATCACAGGATTCACATATATCAATTACAGTCCTAAATAAAAATGGTAAGATACAAAAAAACAACACCAAGTGAATTGAAAACTTCACCGTATTGAATAAATCAGTGGCTATTAGGACTCTGTCACTAAGTGGATAACACAATGGTGTTTGAAACAAATGGTATTGGGTTCGAGTCCCAGAGTGATCATGAACTCTGTGATGCAGTCATATCCAGCTGACGTGTCCCAAATAGCACGGAACGCGCGTCAAACTGGATTCCACTGTTTATGAAGCTTGTATCTTAAGGTAATATCGAGTCAGTCCACACAGGATGCACATATGCCAACAAGAGACTGATCAATTAATGTTTTATATAACACTAGGAAAATACAAGTAAGCAACACCAAGTGAATTTAAACGCATGAAAAAATGTTATTGAAATACACATATCGTCAATTGTCGTATAAAATTATCGACTTAAATGGCGTTAGTGAATAACAGAATCAAATAAGTCAAATACGAAAATGAATTACAAATAAATGTATGTCATATAATCGTTGATCCAGACAAATGATCAAAGAAACGAAACGAAAAGAGCGAAGAAAGATGATACGCGGTGAAGTGGGCACATCAGCCAACTCGATTTGATCAAGCGTTCATCAATATTTATAGTCATAAAAAAATAAGCCATAGACATGTGATAAGTAGGATAAGAAGTGTACACACACACAGACGTGAATACATATAAAAACAATCAGGTTTGATAAGTGAGTCAAAACATGACTCAATAAGAATGAATAGATCAGACTGCCCGGAATCTAAAATAAATTATATAGGCTTAACGTATTAACTGACATTACAACAAGAAGAAATCTAGTCAGTTTGAATTTTCTTTACATAATTCAATATAACCTTAAGAAAAAACAATCATTCATTTATTGATTATGACATCTCTAATTATAAATTATCATTATCTTTAATAAATATAACTAATAATTAAACTAGTTTCTTATGGTGTATTATCATTGATTTATTTTATCATAATTAATTTTTATAATTAGAATTTGCAATTTTAGGCAACATTTATGTTGTTCCATAATGAATTATCTTATTGGTAATAAAATAATATCTACATTTTTTTAATTGTAACCTAATTTAAATATAAAATGATTGATTGATAGTGATTAGATAGGTGACATGATAGAATTAGTAATTGAAAAATTATAATACATAAATTATAAATAAAATAAATATTCAATGTTTGTTTTCATTCTACTGGTTGTCCATTTTATATCATATTTTTTCTAGTACTATTATACATAAGCATTTAGAGATTAACACCGTTGGATGCCGGCTCAGTGGTCTGGTGGTTAAGCGCTCGCGCGCGAGACTGATAAGTTCTAGGTTCGAATTTCGAGGGGAGGCTGAGGGCTGAGAAGTCCCATACTAGGGCGAAACGGCTGTCCAGTGCTTTCAGGTTTTCCATGGCGATCTAGCATCAATTGACTCATGATTTCAACTATTGAAATTACTAAAATCTCCACAACACCCCTTCTGATAATTAATTTCACATTATGATTCTGTGTCTTATACGTGAGTTAGATTAGTGCCTGGAATTCTAAATTAGAAGTATTCAATTTATGGGTGATTAATGTTGTATGGTAACAAAATTGAAATATATATGTATATATTCACTTGGTGGTGTTTGCTTGTATCTTTCCAATGTTATTTAGGACTGTATTGATCAGTCGATTGTTAGTATGTTTGAACCCTGTGTGGAATACCCCGATGTTATCTTAAAACATAAGCTTCATAAGCAAAAATCGATGGTGGCTAGCAGTGAAAAACTGTTCGATGAGCGTTTCGTCCTATTTAGGACTCATCAGCTAGATATGCCTACATCACAGAATTGATGTTTACCATGGGACTAGAACGCAGTACTATTCACTTTAAACACCATCGTGTTATCCACTTAGCTACAGAGTGCTAATATATATATATATATATATATATATATATATATATATATATATATATATATATATATATATATCAGTCAGTCAGCTGCAACGTAGGACCAGGCACGTATATGCATCGGTCCAAGTTGCCATACCGCATTAGCACAACAAGATGAACACCGGATTCATAGAAGTAGTTAATTCAGTGGTGGTAATATATAGAAGAAAGAGTGTGTATAAGGAGATAGTACAGGAAAAAAGAATTAGTTCCTAGAAAGAAAGATTTGAAGTGATTTTAATCTCTTAGTTTAAAGGAAGACAGAGAGTGTATACACCGACGCCATTGTGATCGATTCTGAGCCATGTCACCAAGAGTCTCCAACCATTGGTTACGATAGTCACGCGGACACCAACCAGGTAGTCTGCATCTACCAACATGGCTCAGACCAGAAGTTAGTGACTTCAAGCACTGATGCCACGTTTTGGTTTGGCCGCCCTTAACTTTCTTCCAACCATTTCCAACACCTGTTAGCATTGCGCGTCGTGGTAATCGGTGTTCAGGCATACGCAGCACGTGGCCCAACCATCTCAGTTGATGAAGGTTCATAACCTCATCAACTGATTTACCATCATTCCTAATACCCTGCGTCTAACCTCACTATTACTTACCCGGTGATCCCAGCAGATACCCACAATATTTCTAAGGCACCTGTAGTCAAATACTAGTAACTTACGAATATCTTCTACTCTCAAAGGCCATGTTTCGCAGCCATACAGTAGAACGGAACGAACTGCCGCGCAGTATACTCGTCCCTTAATTGATAAACGGATATCTCGCCTTCGCCATAGGTCACGTAGATTGGCATAAGCCAAACGAGTTTTTCGAATCCGTGCAGAGATTTCGTCAGACAACAACCCATTAGGGCTGATCAGACTTCCAAGATAAGTGAAGTTGTCGACGCGTTCGACTACTTCACCTCCTATCCTTAGTTCAGGTGTTGACGCAGACTAGTCCTGAAGCAACAACTTGCATTTAGAGGGAGAGAAGCGCATCTCAAACATTCTGGAATTGTTGCTCAGTGCTACCAAAAGACTCTGCATTTCATCAGCGTCTTCACCAAACAGGACTATGTCATCTGCGTATTCTAAGTCAATAAGTGGACCTCCTGGTAGGAGATCAATACCTGAGAATTCAATCGATGAGAGCGTTATTTCCATCGGTAGATCTATGATGAAGTTGAACAAAAATGGAGAAAGTGGACGGCCTTGGCCGACGCCACTTGAGATTGCGAAAGCAGATGACAGTTAGCCATATGCTCTGACTCGACTAGTAGTGTTCGAGTAAAGAATACAATACCCACCTCAATGTATTTCTGTTTCGTTTAAGCTACCTACCTGGGCATTAAAGTCGCCTGCTACGAGTACTATGTCTGAACGTTTAGCTTTCTGAAGAAGTTCAGAGAGTTTTCTGTAAAATTCATCTTTCACTTCATTCGAACTGCAGTCAGTGGGAGCGTAGGCAGAAACGACGAAAAGGCAACGACGTGTGTCCCTATCCTTTCGAGTTCTTACGGAGCCGTTTAGCCGAACAGCGCATAGACGACTGTTTATGGGGATCAACTCTAATAGCGCTTGTTCCGTCCTCATGCTTAGTGCTATGCCTACACCTGCAAGTCCACGAGAACTAGCCATCGGGTCGCCAGATACACGGAGGGTGTATCTCGTCGGCACTCCGTTTTGCCGAGGTGAGGTCAAGTGAATGACCACACTAGGATCCTGTATGCGTGTTTCGGAGGCACAGCATACATCAATGGTACGAGATTCTAAGGTGTTAGCCAAGGAAGCCTGCTGACCGATTTGACATAGTGTGCGTACGTTGAAGGCTCCAATGTGTAGTTTGGAGCGAGGTTTCAGTAGACCTGGGACAGTGTTTTGCGCACTAGAATCGTTGGCTGTGGTGACACTTGATGAGGAAGTTTAGATTTGAAAGTCGATGTAAGAGGAATAATAGGAATTGAAGAGGTAGGTTGATTATGAATACAGTGGTCTTGAGTACTGTTAGAGGTATGAGGGCGGTTATCACTTCCCGGTTGCCCACACCGTGGAAGGGTACTTCTGGAGGTACCTGAAAAGGAAATTGGATTAGAGGTGGTCATAGTGACCTGAGAGCGTGACCGCAGTGCCCAACGGACAGCTGCTTGAGGTTGGTCGCACACGACCTTTTTATGAGTAATTTTTGTGTTAGCTCCGTACTTGTTGAGACCTTACCGCCGGAGACGGATATCCGTGGGATAAGGCGAGGTGTGCATTTTTAGGGTCGATCTTTTCTAATCCCATCCCTACTTGTTGGAAAGGCAGCATCGCTGTTATGCTGGTTGTCTGAAGGAAACACCTTACTGCTGTCACACCTCTGTACAGTCAGCAGTACGACTTCGCCTTCGGACCTTGGTTTTGTTGCTTTTAGTCTTACCGCTCTTCAACCGACCTGTCTGGCATAGTAGGACCTTGAGGAACGGTTGTTCCAGCCAGTATAGCTCAGTTGCTTCATCACGATAGGCAAGCCCGACCACCACGTCAAGGTAGCAACAACGGTCAGGATATATATATATATATATATATATATATATATATATATATATATATATATATATATATATATATATATATATAAATGTACTCACTGTGTTCATTGGAACCGATTACTGACTTAATAACTAATAAATCAGCATTTTTAGCAATCATATTTTTATCTTGATAATTCATTGAAATCATATAATTAATGTTAAATGATTTATTTTGATTATATAACTGGTAGATTATTTGAAAAATATCATGATAATCATATTTAATATGATAAATATTATTATTATAATTTTGATAAATAAGATTGTAATTCAGTTCCAGATAATTTTCAATCTTTATTTTGTTATTAATTCATTGAGATTTTGTTTTTATATCCAATTTGCAAGTGGGTTTGCGTATATAGATTAAAAAAAGAAATAAAAAGAGAAACACAATAAAGAAATAATGAGTAAATAATAATGTTTTTCTTATTTTTATCATTATTTTTACTGATTAAAGATAAGAAGTACAAGATATGATAATCAACGAAAATATTGACTCAACAAGTTCAACTTAATTTATTTACTTGATTATTAAAACATCTTCAACGTGTATATTTCTCATGTGCGTGTGTGTGTGTGTAGGGGTGTACATGAATCTGTTTACTCACAAATCAAAACTATCTTATCATAATATGACTTCTTCACTTCTTCACACAAACAATCCGAATAGCAAACTTCAATTGATGAAGGAAATAGAGAAAAAGAAAATAAGAGATAATGAAAGGTTATATATTTTCATTTGCTATAATATCTTAATTATAGTATATCAAATGATCTGTTTATTTGTCCTTATTTAAACAAAAATGATCTATGTTTGTTTTCAAGGTTGATAAAATAAAAGATTTATGAGTTAACTATATGATATGTTTGTTTATTTAAAGTTAGAAAGTAAAATATTTTCGTTTTTGTAAGTTATTTCTTTTGTGGATTGGTGTCAATTGTATTAACATTCTAAACAAGATAGAATTAACAACCTTACCAGCATAAATATATACATTTTCTTAAAACCACCTTTAATATTATAATTCTGTGGTATGTTTTATTTTTAAAGATTTCATTTTAGTATTGTTGTATTGTTGGATAATAATCCTACAATGGTATGGCGTGAACTAATTATAAAGGTCCCATCAATTGATTATATCTACTTTTGTCTAATTATCCAGAAAAAAATACCAAGACTCGTTAAAATCTCAAGCAAACAATCTATTTTGTTTAATTAAATATAATTTGTGGAAATATAAGAATTATAAAATTATATAAGGATTGAAGGAATTCAAACAATGCACTGAATCACCATATAAATTCTTCATTATATATTTCTACTTGAAAATAACATATATAAAAGATTTGAAATAGTTTTGTCTAGGTACTACATGATTAAGTCCACAATTGATTGATCACTGAGTGGTGATCAATGTCATGTGTGTCGGGTCCTTCTTAGTGCAGATCGAATACTATCTACCTTATAATTACAGTTACACCTTGTTGACATGTGCCAAATAGCACGAAACTCAGGTTCAGAGTTTCCTGTTGACTAACTCCAACTACGATCTTATGATTAAATCCAGTTTCGATTTTGCTTTCATGATATTGTAGTTTATTATTTGGTCTGTTTTAATGACGTAGATAAATTTTCATATTCTTAGTTCTTACGATAAATATTTTTGAACAAAACACTCATTAACTACTGAATGTTATCTAATAACGTCATTTTATCTTGTTTTTGGTACTTATCTTCTTGCAAAGATCAAACTTTATTGTCTTTATTAGTCCAAGTAACTCCATTTTCCAATAAAAAAATATACACGGACATATATTTTCATATATATAAATCACCAATTAATAACTCAAGAGCTTGGTATAACTATCACTGAGTTAAGAGATTGCTAAATCTAAAACGATTTGTAGATAATCAAAGTGGATATCCTACTTTTTCTGATGGTAGATCAATCGAGAGAAATTTAAATAATGAATAATATCTATTATTTAGTTTTAATAAAGAATAAAGGCAATTCTGCTCAGAAAACTTTATTCCACGATATTATTTACTGAAGCTGTACAGTTGTGTTTGTGATGATGTCATAAATATATTCATTCATAGAAGAACCATAAGAGACTAGATCGTATAGTAGTGTTTTCAACATGGGATTAATTAAAAATTTTATCATTTTATGATTGTATTGACCGAACTATAAATGAAACAACTTGTGTATGAAATAGATATGTAAACAGATATCTGAGTTTTGTGGATTTTTATTCAAAAGTTCATGATGAAATACGACTAAATTATACTTGAAGAATTATCTACACTTCCGGTTAAATCCTGTTGGGACATGGTATCAGAGGGTCGTAAAAGATATATTATTACAATAAACTAATAATCTGTATACTTATCAAACAATTTGTGTTAATTGTTCCTTAGTTTTCTTTAACTTAATATAGATAAATAATTAATATACCATTTCTAACATTATAAATAAGAGAATGGAAAAAATACCTGTTTTCTTTGTTATAACTGAATAATTTCTTTTAACCCCGAACACCGCACTTATTAATTATACCATTCAGGTAATAAAATGAAAACATTTCATACTAATCTGAGAATTTAGCTACTAATTAATTTTTTGGATTGAGAATATGAAACAATTGATGTCAGACCAACATTGAAAACCTGGAAGTACTGGATGGCCATTCCGTCCTATTGTGAGACTCTTCAGCAGTGCGCATCCACGATCCTACCTCGCGAGCTTAGAACCTAAAGCCTTCGGTCCGAACGTTTAAACTCTACACCATTGAGCCAAAATCTAATGATGTTAACGTTTAACATCAATTAATCCACGAAATTGTTAGACCATCTTCCATTGTACTGAGGTAGACACCTGTATATACCTGACATAGATTAGCTCCCCTGATTACGGCTTCTCATGAATCGATTGGTGTTAGACCACCATTGAAAACTTGGAAGCACTAGACGGCTGTTTCGTCCATTTTGGGACTCCTCAGCAGTGCGCATCTTTGATCCCGTTCGCGGGATTCAAAAGGCTGTTATCAATGAAATTTAGCCATCCCGAATGTAAGACAGTTTCAAAGTCCAGAGAGCTTATTGAAGTCAAACAATCAAAACAGTGGATGATGGTGCTTTTCACTAAAGTTTATGTGCTCATCATGAGACATGAAGGTTTGTAGAGGTTGCCGATGTACTCTGCTGAGTTTTATGCTAGAATGAATCAGCTGTCCAACACTTCTTGGTTTTCAATACCTATTTCGCTAAGGTCAGTCAGTGATACTAACGATAAAATATCGTTATTTGACATTATCCTCACTCTTGGCTTGTTCACCTCGATTTATCATTAAATTTCGTTAAAATATTAAAATATTTATTTAAAGTAAAGTAACAAGTGAATAGTGAATCAATAATAAAGTAAGTAAATAAATTTAGCTGCAACTTTATTCATGAAACAAAATCAGCTTCACAATTGCATCCTGTGTGGATTGCCTCGATATTGCTTTAAGTCAAAAGCTTTATGAGCAGAGATAGATGGTGGATGGTAGTGGAAATAAGGACACGTCATCTGGATGCACCTGCATCACAGAATTTATATTCACTCTGAGACTCGAACCAAATACCATTCACTTCAAACGCCATCGTGTTTTCCACTTATCTACTGAGTCCTTATAGCCGTCATTAGTTTTGTGTAAAATCACCACTGTTGAATTGATCAAGTAGACTTTTGTGTTCAAACAATGAAAATTAATCTCAACTTTAACTGTATAACTGAAGTGTCAATTTATATATGTAAATCAATATGGAATGACGAATATAAGCCATAAAATTGAAATATAAACGTCATTAGGAGTAGTTTTGATCAAATGTATTTTTTAGGACAGTTTTCAAGATTTTGATGATCATTATCACAGTGTGTTTATATTCGAAATGTTTGAATTATTTGGATTTTATTGTAGAATTCGGATATAAGCTTTTAAAGATAACCAAAGTGGTCGATTGAGTTCTGTTTAATAGTTCAGTGTTAGCGTCTTTTTGAAATATTCAATCAGATTACTTTAAGACCAGAAATATGGTCACGGTCAGTTTTATTATTTAGATGCAGAACTCACATGATTATGTAAGTTAAACGAAAGACATGAACACATCAGTTAGTGAGTTTCTATGAAATCATTACTAGAATATGACGGATCTGAAGTCGTGCAATAAAATGTCTTGATATGTTCACTATGAAAATCATTATAACAACTAGTTACTCCAAAGACAGCCTACAATAAGAATACGTAAAATCACGAAGAATTATTTAGAGAATATCTATCGTATATTACAACCACTACAAAAATGAATTCAAACTTCATTCAATCGCACAATCTAGCGGCTAATTGGACTCGGTAGTTAAGTAGGTAACATGGTGGCATTTGAAGCGGACAGTACAAGGTTCGAGTCCTAGAGTGAACAACAACTCGGTGATGCAGATACATACAGATGACGAGTTTCAAACAGAAAGTAACGGCACAATATTTCCACACAAACTTATTCACAAAGTTACATGGACCTCATCGGACCATATCACAAAGAACTAGATAGATCAAATTTGCATCAGTAAAAAGTTCCGAAGGACAATGGAAGATGTGAGAACAAGGAGAGGAGCGGACATACCTACAGATCTAGACAACTGGACAAACGGCACTACAAAGGTTCAATACAGCCTTCCTTCAAGATACTAACAAATTCGACGAATTCAAGATAGCTCTCAACATCAGGTTCTAAGCCTTACAAGATCCACTGAAGGAAGAAGAAACTACTATGGAGGATAGCTGGAAACATACCAAAGAAGCATTAACTTCGACATGTCAGAAGGCTCTGGGCCTCAAGAAGCATCATCATAAGGAATGGATATCTATAGAAACACTGGACAAGATCAAAGAAAGAAAGATCAAGAAGGCAGCAGTCAACAACAGAGAAATTCCAAGCACAAGCTGAGTACATAGAAGCAAACAAGCAAGTGAAGAAGAGCATTAGAGCCGACAAGCAGAAATAAGTGGAAGAACTCGCAACGACGACGGAAAAAGCTGCAAGAGAAGGAAATATGAAACAGCTTTACGATACAACGAAGAAACTAGCAGGGAAATATGGTAAACCAGAGAGATCATTCAAAGACGAAGAAGGCAGGCCAATCACTGAAATTCAACAACAGTGGAACAAATGGGTAGGGTAATTAGAGGAACTCCTGGATAGTCCGGCTCCAATGGATCCACCGGACATCGAAGCAGCACACACAGATCTTCTTATAAATGTCAATCCACCTACGACGGAAGAAATCAGAATGGCCAAAAGACAAATCAAGAGCGGTAAAGCAGCAGGATCCGATAATATATCAGCTGAAGCACTGAAGTCAGACATCAAAGTAACTAAAAACATGCTTCGCCTTCTATTCAAGAAGATTTGGGAGGAGGAACAAGTGCAGATGGACTGGAAAGAAAGACATCTCATCAAGATTCCAAATAAAGGAGATCTGAGCAAGTGTGAAAATTACAGAGGCATTACACTACTGTCAATACCAGGGAATATCTTTTACAGAGTGTTGCTGAACCGAATGAAAGACGCAGTAGACGCTCAACTTCGAGATCAGTAAGCTGGATTCCGTAAGGATCGATCATGCACCGGCCAAATTCCGACACTACGGATCATCGTCGAACAATCAATTGAGTGGAATTCATCAGTGTACACCAACTTCATTGATTATGAAAAGGCATTTAACAGTGTAGATAGGAGAACGTTATGGAAAATTCTTCGACACTACGGAGTTCCTGAGACGATTGTCAACATTATCCGGAACTCATACGATGGACTACGGTGAAAAATAGTGCATGGAGGACAGCTGACAGATACATTCCAAGTAAGGACCAGAGTCAGACAAGGCTGTCTACTCTTTCCCTTCCTCTTTCTTCTGACGGTCGACTGGATTATGAAGACCTCGACATCTGAGGGAAACCACAGCATATAACGGACAGCTCAGAACCAATTAGACGGTTTGGATTTCGCAGATGACCTAGCCGTCTTACCCCACGCGCACGAACAAATGCAGATGAAGACAACTCGTGTAGCAGCAGCCTCTCAATCAATAGGCCTCAATATACACAAAGGGAAAACCAAGGTCCTTAAACACAACACGGAGAACAGCAACCCAATCACTCTTGATGGCGAAACTCTGGAAGATGTGGAATCCTTCACATACCTGGAAAGCATCATCGATGAACAAGGAGGTTCAAATGCAGACGTATAGGCGAGGATCGGTAAAGCAATGACAGCATTCCTTCAATTGAAGAACATATGGAACTCAAAACAATTTTCAACCAATATCAAAGTCACAATCTTCAGTACGAACATCATGACAGTTCTACTGTATGGAGCTGAAACTTGGAGAAATACTACAACCATCATCAACAAATTACAAGTTTTATAAATAACTGTCTACGCAAGATACTGAACATCCATTGGCCGGATACCATCAGCAACAGCCTTTTGTGGGAGTGAACCAACCAGCTTTCAGCTGAAGAGGAAATTAAGAAAAGACGATGGAAATGGATAGGACATACATTGAGGCAATCATCAAACTGCATTACGAGGCAAGCCCTAACTTGGAATCCTGAAGGGAAGAGGAAAAGCGGAAGGCCGAGTAACACATTACGTCGGGAAATAGAAGCAGATATGAGAAGGATGAATAAGGACTGGAAAGAGCTGGAAATTATTGCCCAGGACAGGGTTGGATGTAGAGTGCTGGTGAGCGGCCTATGCTCCTCCACGAGAAGTAACAGGCATAAGTAAGTAAGTAAGGTTCTTTTTAGTCCGACGTGGTTTGTTCTACAGGACCGTTAGAAATCCCTTCTTCAAATGAAAATAATTACAAGTTTGATAGATAAGTACAGTGTATTTAATTTTAAAAATTACTGTAATTGTTAGAGATAAAGTTGAAATTCAAACCAAGCCTAGAAACTGCATCATTATAATTGACCTTCTTACGTATTATTTGATTAGACACCAGGTTCCTTTTATTTATACCCCTTTGGAAATGAGTTATTTGTACTACAGTCACTCTACATATTGTTTAGTGAAATATTTACTGGTGATCGTTTTCATTATTAGTAGACCAAGAAACACTTTGCGTTCGGTTTCACAAAATGTGTTTAATGAAATCGGAAGAAAGAATTGAACTTAGACCAAATATTTGTAAACAACGTTACGTTTCTAATTTAATACTATAAATTTTGGAGTCATCAGGCCTATAGACTATTATATTCTACGACTTTGTCCATCAAATAATATGCTCTTCTATGGTTCGCCGAGAAGCTATGAGGAAGAAGACTATGTAGGAAGGTTTGGTACAAAAAGCCAAACATATTTCCTTACAACTCACGATTTCATCAAAGTGTACAGATTTGGGCAGATAGAAAAATCTGAAGAGCGATATTTGTTGGGCAAATAATCCAGTTAAAATAACCGCCAAACACTTTCCTCGAACTTATCATGTGACCTAGAGAGAGCATGAAATCTGTCGAAACCATCTTATTTTGAAGAGTATGTACTCCACTTGAGATATAATCGCTGAAGATTAACAGGATAAAATGAGAATCCATTTAAATCCCCTAATGTCAAAAAGATAATGGTATTTTTTATGTTATTTAAGGAGTTCTCAATTTAAATCAACAGTGTTTTGACACAAATTATAAATATTTTTATACTTCTAAAACGTAAGCACGTGAACAATCTAAATAAACAAAATAAATTAGAGATTTACTAATAACTCATCCCAACGAGAGTATAGACGTTTATTGGATCACACTGTTTACACTGAAGAAAAGTGAAAATTCCACTTATTTGGATGTGTTTTTTGAATTCATCCACCTTAAAGTGAATTTACCTCCTATACAGAAAATTATCGTTAACTAAAGATTGAGTCTCAGATACACTGGGATAAATTTAATGTAAACCATCTCCGTTTTGAGTAATGATTAGTTTGATCTAGAAGATTATTTACTATGGATAAATACCTTAATAAACCTTCATTTCTATTAGGTTAGTCTACCACACATTGTAAAAACTCTAGCTATTTGAGAAATTTTTATAATTAATCAAAGTTAAAACTTACCAGTAGGTGAATAGAATTCCATTTTTTCCAGTAGAATTTACATTGTGTGTGGTGTTTATTTGTAATAATATGAAGGGCTATAGAACAGTAGGTATAAAGATATGTGTTACTTAGTAAAATAAAAACGATTACTGAGATAATAAGCATAAACTTACTTATTCAATAGTTGAAGATAGACCACCATCGAAAACGTCGAAGCACTGAAAGGCCGTTTCTTCCTATTGTGGGACTCCTCAGCAGTGTGCATCCACGATCCCGCCTCGCGGGATACGAACACAGGACGTACCAGTTTCGTGTGCGAGCGCTTAACCTAGACTACTGGGCCGGCATTCAACATCTAACATCTAACGTCAATAATCTCGACTATTGAAATTGCTGCAATTTTCACAAAACCCCTTCTGGTACTAATACATTATTCATAAAAATTTAAAATTGTTTTTTCATACATAGAGCCAATTGTTTAGTTCTTCAGAAGTGGTATCTACATTTTGACAAAATTATCAGCATGGACATTTTTTGTTATAAGTTATATTTTTAAAAAAAATGTTCTTTAGGGAGAAAAGTGTTTATCATGATTTACGAATCCAACACTGTCCTAATGAAGACAGCTCATAGTTTATATGATTTTATAATCATCAAATAGTTTCTATTATGTTTCACTAAAAGCAGAAAATCATTAGAAATGAAAAGTTTTGATTATAGAACCTTAATCCAGTATTTCGATCCTATATGACTAGTAGCGTAATTATTTTTGAACTATTCTATCAAACATTTTGATCAGATTGTATTCTCTAAGCTGAATGGTCTTGTTGTCTTTCTAGATGTTATTAGAAGAATAAACTTTAAAATTATTTTGATTAGGTTTGTAGGCTTAAAGAAATTAGGCAAACATATTTCCAGATATAATTTTTAGGTTTTCACAGCTATGAAACTAGGAATAATCTAAATTTGTTTATTAGCAGATTCTCCTAATTGTTGACTTGAAAAGTATTATTATTATAGTTTACATTTGAATATTCGACTAGTTTGTTTATCTTATGTAACAGTTACGTAATACAGTATTTCTCTTCTTCAATAGATTTATTAAATATTTATGTCAGTTAACTCAAAATATTTTATATCAGTTCATCATCGAGTAAAATGTATTGGACTCATTGTGAGTAGTGAAAAAAAATTTATAGCAAATGAGATAAAATATTACATTAGAGAATTAGGTCAAAATGCAACGATTTACCTTATTGATCGAAAAGTACACTTATCAGTTACTCACATGTATTTAATATTCCCGATTGTTGAAAATAACTACCAGTTAAATTCAAAAACTTGTTCGAAGTTTTTAGAAATAATAAAGGATAATGTTTCTCCTCGAAAACATGTGGCCATGTAACAATAAATTGGTGATCAACAGTTGAATTATACCCATGATTCATGGTTACTATCAACTGAGTGTTATCTGGAGATTTGGATATTTCGCTTAGAATATTTATAGAACCCTATATTTTGAAAAAAATGTAAAAGAACCTAAGGAACCAAATGTGAAATGTAATAAACAAAATTAAATGTCGAAGTTCTATTACCATTCATTAAGAAATATGACCGTTTTATAATTAACATAAATTTCAATAGTTAAGATCATGATTCAGTTGAAGCTAGACCACCATGGAAAACTGACTCATGATCTTAAGCATTGAAGTTACTACAATCTCCACAAAACCCTTTCTGATAATGACATAAATTTACTTTAAAGTTTCTGTTGGGGTTTAGTATGATAGGTATCAATCAGTGGTTTTAGACATTAGGTGACATAATTCAAAATCGGTTCAGCTGTATTGTCAATTTGATATTACTCCATACCTTTCATTACTAACCTGAAATTTACATATGTTTAGCTTTCAGCGTTAATAAATGTATTTGCTTTATATAATAATTTTCCTATTTTATCTTGTTATTTTCTCTCGCAATTTTAAAAAAAAATTTTTTATTAGTTATATTTATTTAAATTTTTTTTATTATTTGGTTGTGTTCATGAATCAGTTGATGTTAGATTACCATTGGAATCCTGGAAGCACTGGATATTCATTTCGTTCTAGTATGGGATTTCTCAACAGAGAGCATTCACGGTCCAGTAAGCAGCATTCGAACCCAATACCTTCGGTCTCGTGCATGAGCTCTTAACCTGAGCCGGCATCCAACGGTGTTAATGTTCAACTTCAACCAATTATCATTAAATTATCATTAATCAATTTCGACTCATTTAAAATTATCTTCATTCACCTAATTGCGAAATCATGCCTGACTCTTTCTTCTTGTTTTTGTTGTTGTGTTTTTCACCTTTAGCTCCTTATAAAGCCAAATGTTTTGAGTTAGGTTTATTCACCACACATGAATGCTAACGCAAAATATTTATTTGTCACAATATCTCACATAAATAAATGGAAGTGAATTTACCAAAATTCAGTTGGTTTATTTATTTTATTTCCATATAGGGATTATAAATTCAATGTAATAAGTTCACTTATCATAAGTAGAAATCAGTTTAACATTAATGCTCATGAAGTCGACTTATTAAGACCAAGGCTCGATAGAATTCGATCACTATTAAAAACTAAACAAATGAAATATATTTTTTGATCTGATGTGCAGGTATATGTCCTTGCATACTATCCTAATTGATCACATGCATTTCAAAGTAGGTTAGCTTATAATCACTTCGTCTTAATGATAGCTAACACAAATCTCTAATCATAATTCCAAAGTCTAGATAGCTTAATAAGGTTTATAAGTGTCCAGGTGATGAACTATTTTTACTACTATATGGGGCGGAAACTTGGAGAACTACGAAAGACATCATTCAGAAGATACAAGTGTTTATTAACAACTGCCTATGTAAAATATTTCGGATCCATTGACCAGACACTATCAGTAACAACCTACTAGTCGGTGGCCTATGCTCTATTTAGAGTAACAGACGAAAGTAAATAACTAAGTAAGTAATAAATGTCCAATTGTTCATTAGGCTGTAAAAATGTTTTCCAATATTAAAAACAATCCTATTTAAAAGCATTTAAAATGAAAATAATCTACTTGTTTTAATATATTTGTTTCTAGATTAAAACCAATATGTTTTAATCTTTCTATATGTTTATCACTTTTCTTATCATTATATAAGATATAATAATTCTGAAAGCTAGTAAATTTAATTTTAATATTATTTCCTTTAAAATTTGTCATATTGATTGATTCATATATAATTGTTTTATTTTTATAAATATTATTATTATCATTTGTTATAAATTGATTGGATTCAATAGAATAAGTTAATTTCCTTAATAATGTTCTAATAATTATTGATTTTTTCCGAATTTCTGATAAATATTCAATATATATTTCACTATTATTATTATTATTTGAAATGTTTGGAATCGATAAACTGATAATTTGTTTATTATGTAAATGATTTAATAATATAGTAAAATTTATATTTAATATAGAAATGAAATTGTTTTGATATATTAGATCATATTTTGTATAAAATTGAATATACAGATTTTCTAAATTACTATTTATTTTATTCATATTCATATCAATGATATATGAAATGATTGTTTTAGTTATGGGATTAAGATTCACATGTATATTAGTGTTATAAGAAGTATTTTTATATAATTGTAAAGAACTTTTGATTATAATGACTTTATTTTGATTATTTATACTATTTGTCTGTAATATAAGATTTGATTGATTAATATTATTACATAATAAATTCTTAATAAATCCAAAATAATCCAAGTTGGCTATTATTTGTTTAAATGGAATATTTTGTTTCTTCATTGATAATATATAATTTAGAGATGGAATATATAATAAAGTAGTGGACATATTCAAGCTTATAATTGAAATTTCATAAATTTGTTTAAATTCAACAGTTTTATATATTTGATATTTGAAAACAAAATCAATAAAATTAGGAATTATTAAAATGAAATCGATTAAATTATTTTCATTATTTATAAACAAAGTTTTATTAGTAATCTGTTGTATATTTTGTTTCGTGTAATTCGATTTATTAGCAGTATCATATAATAATAATAAAATTAATTTGATGATATTTGTTTTAAAAAATATAACATTTTCAATGTCCAACATAAATAAGGATTGTGATTTATCATAATTGATTATTGAATATTTTTCATTATAATTAAATATAATTGAATAATTAGTTTTTTTAATAATTTGAAATTCAATAAAACATTTTTGATTTTGTTTTAATTTTATCCATTTATTGTTTAAATGTATTTGGTATTTAAAAAATAACAATAAATATTTACTTTTAATTAATTTAGTTTGTAACTGATAATGAATTAACTGAATACCATGTAATGAATAATTAAATATTGTTTTAATATTGAATTGCTTATTATTAGTAGTAATAATACTATTATTATTTTCTAAATAAATATTAATTTCATTAATTTGTTGTTTAATTAATATTGGTATATTTGAATTGAAATTTAAATTAAATAAATTAAAAAAATTATTAATATGTTTATTTGAATGAATTAAATGGATTGATAAATTGTAATTATTATTATTGCTGTTATTATTATTGATCATTTGTAAATATTGTTTTAACTGATAAATGCTTATTTGGTTATTTAATTGATTTATTTCAAAAATTTGTAAAAAATTACCTAACTGTTTTTGTTTATTATATAATGAAATATTTACAGAATTAAAAAATAAAGACTTTTTTATAATTTTTCTAATATCTAATAATAACTCGTATTTTTTATGAATACTGATTAAAATAGATAAATTATTATTATTATGATTATCATTATTACTGATTTGTATTAATTTCGTTTGAATATTAATTGATTGATTGTAATTAGTAGTATGATTAAATTCCATTAAATTGTTAAATGTTTCATTAGTAGTTATACGTTGAATGGATTTATTTACTGTCATTGTAATATAAGGTAATATTATTAATGGTGTTAATAATTGTATGGATAAAGTTTTAGTTTGTATATTAGATTCATTATAAAATGTTTGTATAAATGACATATTAAAAAGTTTCCATTCACTATATTTATTTGTATTTTTGATTAAAATAGAACATTGCAATGGTTTAGAATGAAATTGTAATAAATCATGATTATTACTATCTAAAGGTAATATAATTGGGTATATTTTGATTAGCATTAAAATTTTAGGTAAATATGGTTGAATTTCCATTGTACTATTTAACATCCAATCAGTATTACTAACAGATATACTAGTTGTCAATTGAATATCAATAAATTGAATATTAGTAAAATTAATTGGTATGAACTTTATACTAACTTGAAAAGTATCAAAATTTTCTAATTGTAAATAAACATTTAAAATAGTATTATTATTCATTTTATTATAAAATTGATAAGAAATCAAATCAGCTTCTTGTTGTTTATATATAGATTCTATTAAATATTCAATATAAATTGTTTGATTTTGATAGTAATTAAATTCAATATAATACATTATCATAGAATGATTTAACTGTTTTTTATAAATACATGTTATATTTTTAAATTTAAAATCAATTTGATAATATGATATTATAATATTTCCATAATAATCAAATCTATTTATAATAGAATTTAATTTCAGTTCAGTAATTTCAGTAATATTTCCATTAATTTTATTATTCCATATATGATCAGTTAAATTATAATAAATATTTAAATAATTATTAGAATGATTTTGGATCCATAAGAAATAAATAGATGAATTCCAATTTCCTATTAATTGTTCATAATATTCATTATTTATAGTATACTGTAAGCATTTATATGATAATATATTAAAATGTGAATTGTATACATTTGTATTCCATTGTAAATTTATATATTTAAATCTATTTAAAGATTCATTGAATTTATTTTCATATATAAATGATTGATTAAAATAATAAAATATTATTGATTGATTCATCAAAATTAATAAATTCTCATAAATGATTAAAGAAGATTTATTGATTTTTAATTGTTCTTGTATAGTTATTCTTAAAGAATTCCATGGAATAAATAAACTAATATTTGAATAAATAGGTAATAATAAATTCTCAATAAAATGAATATCAAAATTTATATGAGCATAAGGATTGTTTAAATAAATGGTAGAAATTTGAAATTTTATTCGATTATTTTGTATTAAATGATTATATTCTATTATATTTTGATGAATGAAACCAGATTGTCCAATTTTAAATAGAATATTAAATGGATCATTTTTATTATTTTGTATAATATATAATTCCATTTGATATCCTTTTGTACCACGACCTTCATAAAAACGATATCCAATTATACAATGACTAATAAAATCTATTGATTTATTAACATTCATTGTATGTAAATGATATTGAATCATAGTATTCATCATTTCATATCCAATATAATAACCAATTATTTGTGAATCTAAACTCATTTCTAAATTACCATGTTTATAATATTTATCATGTTTAAATAATATTCTCATATGAATTGGTGTACCAGGACCTAATGAATGAATTGTACTATATTCAATATGTATTTCAAATAATTTTTCATTTGTGTTTAATTGTAAAATATAATTATTATTTAAATAAAATTCATTAAACCAATGACTTTTTATAAATGATTTGATGGATAACATATTAGAACCTTCAAAATTATAAATATTATACCATTTATGTTTAAAATGATAAATAAATTTACCATATGATGTAGTTATACAATTTATGATAAAATAATGTGAATGATTTATTGATTTCCAATAAATCATCAAATTATTTTGTATATTTAAATGTGTATTTATTTTAAACAATATATGAATTATCGATTTATTAATAAAATCATAATTAAATTGTAATTGAATATTTTGATTTGATTGATTATTTGAATAATTATTTGACAATTCAAATTGTATGTTACTTTTTAATTTTTCTATGTTCAATATAAATTTACCTATAAAATTTTTATTTATTTTATAATGAGATAAATAAAAATAAATTTTATTTTCACATACAATTTGTATATAAAATGGTAATAATTTTATATGATAATATAATTGCATCATAAATTCTAATTGTAAAATAATTTCTTCATTTGTTGTTATATTGCTTTTAATGAAAGTTAATTCAGTAGTATTTAATATATTTAATTTTTTAATTTGATTTAAAATAAATAATTTTTGTTCATCTAATTTAAACATTATTTGATTTTTAATAATATAATATTTTATATCATTCATATAAATTAAATGATCCAATGTTATCCCACTATATAAATCTATTGGTATTATATCATATATAGTTATAATTTTTAATAATCTTAAGTTTGGCCATTGTAATGTAAATTCATGTAAATTACGCCATGGTTGCAACCAACTTTTGATTGAATACACTTTTTGTTGATATTGATTATTATATTCCATAAGTATTGATGATAATAATTGATTTTCAATATTATGTAATAAAATTAATTTAATTGATTCACTCATTGATTTCGAATAAATATTAGTTGTACTATATAATTTGTTTATAATTCCAATATCAGTTAATTTCCATTCTAGTTCATTGTTTAGAATATAACCAATCTTCTAATTTTGACAAAAAAAGAAATTAAAACAAAAATTAACTGAAGTTTTAAAAGTATCAGTTGAGTTATTAAAAAAAATAGTTTGAGGATTTATGGAAATTGTAGTATTTTCATAGTTTAGTACCCGAGTTGATCTAAGCTAGACTGTAGTGTTCGTTATTATGTTAAACCCATATAGCTTTCAGACAGGCTAATCTATCCATTCTACTTGAGTCATATTTTGACCTTGTTAATTATCGGCTTGACAATCTTCGCTGTTTTTATATGATCACATATGTGTGTGCCCTTCTTATCCCATTCATCACATGTCTGTAGCTTAATTTTGTGTAACTATAAATATTGATTAACGCTTGACTAAAGGAAGTTGACTTACCCAACATCTCCACTGCACGTCGTTTTGCTTCGCTCTATTCCATTCGATTCATATACAAAATATATGTATTCAAAAGTCCATACTCGTTATTTGACTTATTTAATTCCGTTATTAACGAATGTGATTTAAGTCGATGATTATATATGAGGATAGATGACATATACATTTCTACAGCAATCATTCGATAACAATCATTCATACGATCTATTCGGTGTCAGATCCTGAGCCTTTCGAAAACAACGTCCGATCTAAATGATGACAAACTAAAGGGCCAAACTTAAAGACTACCGTTGATGACCTGGAAGTATTCAACAGCCGAGGATTTTAGGTTCGAGTTCTGAGTGCTGGATCGTAAGTGCACACTACTGGGAAGTCGAAAACTAGAACGAAACGGCTGTTCAGTGCTTCTAGGTTTTTAATGGTGGTCTAGCTTAGATCGACTCATGAATTGAATTGTGGATATACGGTTATTGAAGAGTTATCGAGATTTATAACTTCTTTTAAAGCTGTAAAACATTATATCAATACTTATTAGATGTAATACATAAAAAAGAAACTTGACGAAACCGTTTCACTTCATGTTTTCATCACTACTTTCTTAAGGTATTTGTTCACATCTCAAATTTAACTTATCTGTAATGCATGTGAATAATCGCGCAGTTCAAGTTCAGTTTCAGTGATATCTATATCATCTTTATTTTCATTTTTGACTTATTATTTGTTATCCGGTAAGTAACTTCACAATACAATGTTAATCATTTTTACCATAGACACTTGACCTTCTTTCAACAATTCGTTCAACCACTTCGATCGTTTCAATCATTTTTAAACGAATTGTACAGTTTTAAACTATGTGAGTGATATTTCTGACTAGTTGTAGACGAAATTTTCTTTGGTTTTTTTACTCTAATAAAAGTCGTTTTTCCTGTAAGTCATTTTGTTTTAAATTGGATCATACATTTCAACTGAAGAAAGAGAATAACATATATGTAGTTAGTAATATTTCATATTTAAACAATAAACTGATGATTTAAAAGTCTCACCGCAATAAACGCCTAGAGCAGATAATCACCGCATTGTAAGGAATTTACGTCAGTATATCGTTACTTATTTTTATGTTATTTAGATTGAAATTTCATACTTGTAAGGTGTTAACTCAGAAATTAAGTAAGCACTTACTTTGAGGAAGTGAATGATTTAAATTTGTGTAATGACTCTTTGAGAGTTCTAATGTTGTGCAATTTAAAAACAAACTAACCTCTCTTATCAAAATTACAATGGAAACAAGGATAGACTGTTAAACACAAAGATAGTTATACTTGAATTGAAAGGCTTATAACAATCATTAGACCCAGAGATCTTTGTTTAATCTGCTGAAATATCATTATTTATTAACTTAAATATATTCAGGTGGGCACAACATTTGAATTGCCATGAGATTATAAAATTTCGAAGAGAACTGAAACAACTTCACAATAAGTGGTTAGTTGCCAGTGTGTTTTCCGAAGCATTCTGTAAACTTAAGTTATAGATTTTAACAACTAGTTTTCGGTGTAACATTTAATAAATTTATAAATCGATCAATAACAATTTGATAATATGTTTTTTTATTTAAATGGAATAACATTATTAATTCGGAAAATGGATTAGTCAAAATCTTACTTCATCAGCAAAAGTGGAGGTGACTGACGTTTTAATACTCCTTAATTGCTGAATATTAACCCCATAATGAGTCATTAAAGAGAATTTACGAAGACTATTTTTATTTGGAGTTACAAATTCAATATGGATATGAAATTTAGTCGGTTGTCCATAATATGGAGTCAGAAATTCTTTTGTTTTAAACATATTGATGGTACATTCGAAATTGAAGCTAGAAAAAATTTGAAAAAAAGTTAATACTCGTATGACAAATATTAAACTTCAAAATACAGTGTATACATTAAGATTATATTACTCAATTTATATCAAGCCATATAAAGAATGTAAATGGCATTTTTATACTGCCGATAGCGTTAAACATTTTTATTGATCAGTTTTAAACATATTTTGTGTTGTTAATTTTAGCGACACACTTAGATGATGATTTGCTACTAATTAGCGAACACCATCGTAATGCTTTGAATGACATATTTCATTATTTACTTCGAGCTCCAATATTTTGAGTCAGAAAAATTACAATTAAATGAACTCTGGGTGTTTTTTAGCAGTAATTAAACCCTAGATTCAGATTGACGATGATTGTTCATACCATTAACTATCCTACAGCTAAATTGTATTTGTTTTAATAAATCTGGTTGATTTGAGATAATAAGTAAATATTTAAAATAACTCATTGTTACCAAAACTATTTTTCGATGTAAAAAAAATCGATTCGTTTGTTTATCACTACAGCATTCAACCAGTCAAAGAAAATCAAAAGCTTAGTGAGTATAAACGATCTTCGTATTGTACTGCTGATGTTTCGTATGAACGATATTTCTGGTTGAGTTGAAGTAAAACACTTTTTATCTAATTTCCAGTTAGTTTATCAATAATCTTCACAAATGAATGTCTTAATCTAATGTTTGACAGGGTTTTATTGTAATAGATACAAGTGATGGCAATAGTGGATAGATACTTCACTTTATGCAGTTTTTAAATTATAAATTAAGGCACTTACATAATTTGCAAGTGAGAGTTTTATGTATCAAGATTTAACAGATATTTTTGAGTTAAGAATTCTTTCGGAAAATCTATGCGAACACGTAGTTGCGACAAATACTTGAGCGATTTGATGAAATACTGTTAGATTTAGAAACAATACATTTCTACCATTTGTAATGTACATTCGTGACCTTCTAATGCATGCCTTACATTTTAAGAGGGAATATAAGATTTTTGAGTTGGGTGTGAATTTATAGTATAGAAAATAAGCGATTATTGTCAGTATGATATTGTGGAGAGTGTTGAATTTCATCAAAATCATACAGAAGGAAGATACGTAACGAAGGCAATGAAAAATGGTAGAGAGATGGCAGATTGATTGAAATTAGGCTTTCACATCACTGGATCCCGGTTTAATGCTTTAGAGGTCGAGTATCCGCGTGTGAGACCAAGGATCCTTGTTTCGACTTTTGGTTGGATGGTTTGTGGATCCTCATCGCTGAGGAGTCCCATATTAACATGAAATGGTCGTCTTCTACTTCCATGTTTACACTGGCCGTCTAACTTTGATCACTTTCTGATTACAATATAATAAGTTAATAATTTGCACATTGGTTAGTAGCCTTTTTTCAGCAACTATGACATCCACAAATCAATAAGAAGATGGAGCAGATCAACTCCATCTTCTCATTGTTCTATCGAAATTTATAAAAGGGACTAATTACTTTAAACCCACAAATCAATATTTGTTGTCAAATAAGCATAAATCACGCATTACTAGATTATCAATAAAACAGCAGAAGCAAGAAAAGCTTATTTTATTGTTCTGATCCTACCTTATGCTTTCCCAACCTCGTACAAATTGTTAGTATTAGTGAGAAGCAATGACCAGTTGAGTTTAACCAGGTCTGTCGTGAGATAGTAACTCACTGAGGACAATAGTGGATGTGTCGCTCAATTTCGTGGATTAGTTGAAGTTGGACATTAACACCGTTGGATGCCAGCCGGCTCAGTGGTCTAGCGGTTAAGCGCTCGCGCGCGAGACTGATAGATCCTGAGTTCGAATCTCGCCGGAGGCGAGATATTGGATGCGCACTGCTGAGAAGTCCCGCGATAGGATGAAACGGCCGTCCAGTGGTCCTAGGTTTTCCAACCAATCCACGAAATTGCACCACCGTACACCATTGTCTTCAGTGAGCTGATAATTCACAACTGATCTGGTTGAACTCCACTGGTCACCGCTTCTCACCAGAACTCCAGGAGTATCTCTTAAAGTCAGTCACTAGTGAGGTTTTCCATGGTAGTCTAGCTTCAATTGACTCATGATTTCAGCAATTAAAATTTCTAAAAATTCTCCACAAAACCCCTTCTCGTATATATATATATATATATTGTTGGAGTAACTGTGAGTAAAACAGCATAGTAGGTGGATTAAGTAAGCAGGCACTTCAGTAAAACGAATTGAAATGAATACACTAAAAAGTTTGCGAGAAGATTTTTCTACTGTTACTGTCTGTATATTTAAACAATCGTTTTTAGTATCTATGCGGGATAGATGATATTAATGTCTAATAGAAACATTCATTTAAAACATACTTTTTACATGACAACTAAAACTGACAAATTGTGGTTTATCAGAATGACAAAAATATTCCTTAGAATAAAATGGCATAAAGTATATAAATAGAATTTTAACTTACTGATTAGATGCTGAGCTTTCAGCTTTTGTTTTACTGTCATAATAAAAAGGGAAAAATATGGATTGTTAAATATTTTACAGTGAACTGACTAAAGAAAGATCTTGGTTGTTAATGTATAGAGATTTAACTGTATAAAATCCAAATACTAGAATTATTTACAAAATATGAATTCGGATTGATAAATTAGAGTGTACAAGATTTGATAACATAGTGAGACTATAATTTATGAACGACATTTGAGAGACGTTGAAGTGACCTTGAAAGTGGATATCTACTGATTAGGACTAAATGGGGGATATAATCAGTTCGAATTTTCATTTACAGTTGGTGGTTGGGGTTAAAAATTAGATTTAGGGATTTCACCACGAACTGACATCAGCTATAATGCCAAAATTCATGACTATCTTATATCTGATTGGTTTGGCTATAAATTATAGTTTCGCCGATTAGTTTGTTTTATCTACTACTTTTTTTTTAAAATGACGGAGTTGTGACTTCAGTGGTTGTTCTTAAATTTAACTAAGCTGCAATTTACTCATCATTCTTCTGATCTCATAATATTTATTTTGAGAATTCTTTGCTTACTTTGTAATTTCTGAATATAACAGCCTTTGAAATTTTCAACAGATATTAGAACTATCAAAATAAGTCTTTAAATAATCTAATATACCTTACTACAGTTCACTTGATGTTCAAATAGTTCCATTTATTATCTAACTAACCTAACCAGAAAATATGTATAAAGAAGATCATACACATATACATAACTACTTACATTATTTTTTATAATGTACGGGCATTAATTACAGCAATAACGAAGATTGGTGTTTTGACTCAATTTGAAATACTTAACAATGTTGACCTATTTTCATTTGATCATTTCGAGATCATCATGTAATATTATTGACAAAGTTTATTTTTCAAAAATCACACTAGAAATAAGGCAATTACTTGGCCATGAATGCTGATCACTTTACATGTTAAATTAACTAATTTAAGATACGGCTATCATTGAATTATGACTCCAGCTTGAGTTGTTGTCTGATTCATTATACGATTTACAGTCTCTGAGTTTAATCTCACAAAATGACTTAAATTCTCGCCGTTATGATGAATGGATAATAACATTGTAGAAATTAATGTATACTATATATTACACTTGAGAAAGTTAATAGGTATTTTTAAAGGTAGATATTAAATACTCAACTTGATGAAAACATGCAACATATATTCCTAAAAATATTTGGCAAATGTAAGTAATATTGTATTACACTAATTATTGTAAAATTAAACAAGTTAACGGAATACGATCTCATAGAAATTTTACTACCCAAGTATCAATAAAACATGAAGTTTTTGGTAGCTCATTTAACTGTAAAACATTTTTCGGCTTAATTATATAACACTTTATAACTTTATAATCACATATCAACTAAATGCTTAGTCAAATTAATCAAACAAAGATGAAAATTATCAAGTGAATTAACTTGATCAATAACTTTGTCAATCTCAACTCATTTTTATTTATTTACTAAGGAAATAAATGAGTAGAACACATGAATCTGACTCTATTATACTCAGATACAAGCAAGTTATCTTGCCAAACTTCAATTACTTCTGAATAATTGGGTCCACTTTATTAGTAAGTGATAACACAGTTAGTTATGTTAGGAAATGGTTAGTAAAGCGGTAATGTGACCAAAAGATGTAAACGACACTTATTTAGTTTATGTACTTTTCACGTTTGGTGATAATGTATTTAATTATCAGTATATTTAGTGGATGAACCGTCCTTCTCTTTAAAGATCATCTATTTTTGCTATCTGTGAGATGATGTTTAATTATTTTTAAACGATCTTACATTCCCTAAACGTTTGAATAAGCTGGTTAACAGGAAGACAAAATGTAATTGAACCAATTTGATTCAATTCAGTGATCAGTATTATATGTTGCCTTAGTCGGTACATACTTTAAAATTATTGAAACTTCAGCTTTCATTCGAACGCTTCTGTGTTAAAATTTCGAAAAGTTATATGTTGAAATGAAGAAAATACTTAGGGAACAAACATTTTACATTTGCGTAATTATTGTATTTTAATCTGTCATTACATTTAATTTCAGCTGTTATTCTATTTCCTGTTCGCGAAGTGAACTTTATATCATCAATTGTAAGTGTTTCAATGAACTAAAAAGATATCATCTTCAAAACTACTCATCCCTAAATCGATAGTCAGTATTCTATTCGACGTTTTACTCCAAACAATGAAATTCATTACCATTTATTTGGCTTATAGCGAACTGTCATCAGAATTGATTACCTCAAGTGGTGTTCGTCAGGGCTGTCCACTTTCTCCATTCTCGTTTAACTTTATCGTAGACGTGCTTTTAGAGATGACACTTTTCCCATCTAAATTTCCAGGGGTTGAAGTTCTACCGGGAGATTCACTTATTGACTTAGAATACGCAGATGACATAGTTCTATTTGGTGAAGACGCTGGCTAAATGCAGTCTTCCAACCTGTCTAAGG